TCTCTTGCAGTGCATATAGTGCTTTTTCCACTATCACCTACCTCTTGAACACACCATATGCGTATGGTCTTCTACCTGAGAAATCAATTTTCTTCACTACTAGTCAATCAAAAAATTAACACTCCTATACCACTAGTAGTAACAAATAAAATCAATTAACATCATCCATCCTCTCTAAAATCATTATAGAACATATTTTCTCAGGTTTAACTGGTCTAACTATGGAATTCTTAACATAAATGAAAATGTTTCATGTATATTTTTTGGTTTTGTCATTGACATATCGCCCTAGAATAATAAGGTACTATCTGGACCAAGTATAGTTGCTCAGAATCGTGTGGAATCCTGCTGCGAACGTTTGACTTCATCTATTTCGTTTCATTTCAATCGATCAGATTTTTTTGTTCTGACTGAGTATCGTCAAATGAGTAGAAGTTTTTGTCAGTTGATGTTTTCTCACATTCTCAAATGAATGTCAATTCGAACATCTGAAATGTAGATAGAACTTTGTTCCAGAAGAATATTCTATTCAAGTGATTCAACAAGGTTCTATAACTGACACAAATAAAATAATAAAACGTACATTTTCCATAAAATTATACGAGGAAGCTGATTTGAAATGTTCTCTTGATCAATATATATTATAGGTATAAGTAAAATGTGTATGGGTATAGTAATAATTAATAGTAATAGGTTGAAAGAATTGCGGCACGTAGATTAATAAGTATCTATCAGTCTTGTTCATGCAGCTCTCATTTTTCAAATTGCATTCACCTTCTCTCAATGCACCAACTTGGGAAAAAGGATTATTTTTGTGTTGGAGTTTCTTGGCACAACTTTGAAAATTTTTGAAATCGGTAACTTTCCACTATGAGATGCAGTATAGCTTTTTTTACTCACTGCTTTCAAAGTCCTAATGAATGATAAATATCAGTTAATCCATATGTACTTCTCATCAACATAACTGACATGACTCTGAATGTTTAATGTTGATGAACTAGGATAACAAGGGTGTATATGTATTGCTTTGATAAAACAAAGTTCTATCTGGATGTAGATGATAAACCAAATTGTGTAGTTAGAATGTTGTTACACCGAGTTCAGATAGAAACGTTGTGTAGATAGAACTCTGCATTATGACTAACTCACCTAATTTCCAACAATTGCGATAGTCGACCTCTCAAAATGAAGAATCTAACAGACAGACATTATTCTAGGGCGATGAATTTGGTTGTCGTTACGATGTGTCGAAGTTCGGTGAAGTTCACGCTTCCATACATCGAGAGAAAAATATCCAAATCCAAGTTTTCGTGACAACCAAACAAAAACTTTCATATATTTTTCAGTATGCTAGCCCAGGTGCCCACCAGCTGGCTAGTTGGCTGGCATCTCAGCTGAGGTCTAAGGAAATAATCGCTCCTGTGGAGGTCCCCATCATCCCCTACAGACTGCCACTGCAGGGCAAGAGAAATTCCGAGGTGACCAATGCCATCATCGGGTCTGAGGAGACTCAGAAGATGTACCGGGACGGACGTTGAATACTGATGACTACCTACTATTAGATGTCTGAACATTGTGACATATGACATGATTGTACCTACCCTCTTCCGCATAATATACGATTGAGAATAAAATAAGTTTTGTAAAGTTTACAATAATTGAATGATCGAATGTGAATGATATAATTTACAGTGTGTTACACTTTGAGCAGCACCATCCTTGTATTTTCTCATTCGTATACTTATTCAATGAAAGTAGAGGAATCAGTAGTTAAATATGCAACTGAATCAAAACCATGATTGGAAACCGGTACGTGATATCATCCCTTCTTATGTGGTCATTCCTAGTTGACTCTCTGCTGAACGATTTTTCCATGCAGATGGTGGGTTTTGTTATGCAGATGATTTAGTCCTGATAGTAAGAGGAACATTTGAGGCGACGATCTCAAACAGCTTACAATAAGTCCTCAATCTGTGCACAGATGGTGCGAGAGGAAGCAGATGTCTCTGAAAATCCGGAGAACTGTAACCAAAAGGCAAAAGCTAGATAAACTTCGTCAGCCTGTCCCATATTGAGAGAGCATTCTGTTTGCGGCGGAGGTGAAATATCTAGGTGTCACCCTGCTTTTTTATCTATTGGAGCGCACGAAAGGAAATTCCTATAATGATAGTGGAACATCGTGCGTACCTATAGGGAGGTTAGGGAGAGGAGGTAGGTGTTGGAACTTTCTATGAACTTTTGGAGGTTATAACTTGTTGACATTTTTCGAGGCTAACGACGAAAGGATGTGCTGACTGGGCCTGTCGATAGAAAACTCACCTGAAACACTCACATGGCAAGAACTATTACAAAGCTCGATTTTCCCTCTGAAATCTCAGGGGGGTATGCAGCAAATGGATGAACCCCAAACGGGTTTACTGGATTTACCAAAGAATGGAAAAACCAATGGACACGTAAGGTAGACGCGTCCCAATTATCGACACTGTCCCAAGCATCAATATTTTTGAAATAAAAATGAAAAAAATTAAAATCTGATGCTTCCTTCATGTATCATCATACCTTAACAAGAAACAACTAGGTTTTTCCTACTATCCCTAATCAGCTCCGGCCGGTAGGGCAAAAAATAAGAATTCTATAAATGATTCAATTTCCTCATTCTGTCACCACAAAGTGATACTGTCGACCTCTGGTACATACATTTTTAAAGTTTGTACCATTTATCGACACCTATATCGATAAATGGTACAATACAACTTCCCCTTTCTCAATGAATATTCAAATACAGAAAGAAATTAGTCTTGTTCTGTTTGAAGAATTCAAAAGAAATTATAATAAGTTAAAGCTGTACCAGTTATCGAATATCGACTTTATTAAGAAGGTAGACTTGATGAATTTTGTGTGTCGGTGTTTGGTACCAATAAGTAAGTCGACAGCTGGTCAGTATATTTTCAATAGTAATATAATATGGACAACGCTTAAAGATTACAGTATTCGACTGTACCGAATTATAGAAAAAAGAAAGAATATGGAAACAAACAAAAGCGAAAGGATTAATGGTGAAATGAATTTGACGAGCTACAAATGGGCTAAAGAAGAAAATCATAACATCCTGAATATTTCAACTAGTGAATAAATAAAAGAGCATCATAATAAGAAGGGACGACATTCTTTGGTACCTATTATGATTATGTAGGCAATATTCTTGAGAAAATTACGGAAGAAAAAATCAATTAACGCGGTCTCTGTTTGTCGGAGATTTCTGATTCAGTGGTTGACTACCAACTCATGCCTTTATTTGATTGTTTTGTTTATTTTGTATTATTTCAATAAATAAACTGTGCTGGAAATAATTCCGCACGATCCGCTGTCGCGTTCCAATCAACAGTGCTGCTTCTAAGGTGGCGTACGGAGTTAGTAAGAAAGCATACACAGAACACACATGGGCTGAAGGACCTCTGGTAAGGTCGATGGCTAGTTGGTATATATATACATACATACCAACGAAGTACATAATAGTACTACTACTAAATATGTTGTAGCTACAACACCTCTAAAAAAACTGCCAGAATTTTTTTAGAGGCGGTTTTTTTATACATGTCAAGTTTACTTCGATAAAAAAAGCTCTCGTGTACTTATAAGTGAAAAATCGTTGTGGTCGCTTGCCTAGGGTCAAGAAGACACCATCAACTTTTTTTGGAAATAGAAGGTTATCTGACCAATAACGAAACAGCATAAAAACTGACGGTAACATTTATTCGACGTATCGCCAAATGGCGGCCATGAAGGTTCGTTTGAAATGAGTTCTGAAATTCAACAATTTCGAACAACGCATACTCATTATTCACATATAAAAAGCGTGAGATGTGTTGAAAAAATTAATTTGAAGTAATCTCCAAAAATGTTCATAAATGAAGGAAATTGGTAGGTAACGAGAAAAAGAACTACTTTCCTGGATGTATGCCACGCAGAACATTGAATCAATCCTCCTGAAATCTATGCAATAATTCATATAGACGAATAAAATCGCAAGTGTTTCCTTTCTAAACGCCAAGTTGCGCTTGAGTGGTTCAGGAACGTACGACTACCTGCAGACCGGTTTCGAGCTTTTGGCTCTCATCAGTGCAGAGCTGTCCCAGATAGCATTCATGACCGCTACGTAAAAGCATCCCAGTATTCATTACCCAAGAGGCGACGGCATCCGCGAGAAGGATTCGATCTGGTGAACAAAATACGATAGCCTACTTGTGCTTTTTTTGATGGATTTTCACAAAACGAGTACATCACTCCCTATAAGGATTAAAAACAGTCGTGATATATGGGTTGTTCCAGTTAAAATGACGAAGTAGCTACTATATAGTTTCTAATATTTAATATATTATTGAACATCATTTCAGACGGATATACCATGTTTAATAATCCAAATATCCAAGATTACAAATTTTCTAGAATATCTACTCGTGATCACAGATGGGCATAGCTATAAACAACCGAACCGAGTGGAGAATTTATTATATATATATAGTATAGTAATGTCGCTATAGTTCAGTAGATAATAATTAATAATTTTAATTATTAATTAATATTTTTTTTGTCGATTGGATGACTTATCATAAGGATAATGGATTTTATTCCAATTCGCCCTTTTTTCCTTTGGATGGAGTAGGGTACCAATAATGGTTGCACAGGGGCCCCATACTCTTTCGTTACGGTACTGATCAGTTTGGGTATTTCCTACCTGCCTGCCTAACAAGAAATAATTACCTATGTTCTCTGGCTTCAGGTTAATGATTTCAAATAATTTAATGTTAACGCACCTGAACACATTTTGAAAATAGTACAGTAGATTTAATTATTTATGGTACAATTGGTACTATATTATGTAGGTACTTAACTGCTTTGTCAGTTTATCGCTTTTCTTGAACTTGTGATATTATCTTGGCCTACAACTGATTAGCTAGATATATATTGTTTTAGTATTTTGGTCTATAAAGTGATTCGATATAATCTGTGCAGTTGAGTAGGTACAGTGACAGTTCAAATAATATGATATTAATGATGATCTAAAATGGGAATCGTCGTACCTCTAGAGAATTTGGCGGAGTCGAAAGTAATACGCAAACAAGGTAAATGAACGTGAGGGTAAAACCAAATATAACTTTCAAAATCCCAGTGAATAATTTTCGATTCTTTTGTATTGTTTCTGGTTGGCGGGGAATTCAAACTAATTTTTGGGAACTTGTCTTTTATAAGTAGGTACAGTAGTTATGTTGATGGTGAATCTTTATAATGAAATCATTTACCTTCCTAAAAATGAATTATACTCATAGTTGTACTGATCGGTTTTTGTAGGAACAATTTATTTCTAGTATATTTGATTTCTTGTTATTCACAGATGCTCAACAGTATATGACGATAATTATAAGGCATTTGTGACTATACGAAACAATTAAAGCTCAACATCACCCCAACAACACCACAGGGATGTCCTAGGTATGTACGTCTCTTTTTTGTCCCGCGGTACGAGGACATGATTGGGACATCCATGGCGACATTCAGGGCATGTCCAGTGGACATCCCATCTGGCACATCCATAGGTTTTCCTATTTTCGGGTCCCTGGGATATCTGATATCCATTCACATCAGTCATTGAATTTTATCGAAATATTCATTGAACATTCTCAGTTAATTTTTTTTAATGCTTGATGTTTTTCTTCCGGAAAATAATGGTAATGAAAATATAGATTAGTCTCAGGACTTCTGGAAAAGTGAACGTTTCGCAAACAGAAATAATAAATAATGAATACTCAATAATAATATAATAATAATGATAAAAATCATACCCAAAATCTAAAAAAAAGGTTGTATTTATTTACGTTCCTGTGGTTTTGTCCTGTTTAGCTTAAACAACATCTCAATACTTGCTGATGTGGAATTCGGCAACGATGTGTTAACGTAAACCGCAATAATGCTTGTGGTGAAGATAATCCTTCCTCTATAAATCTATTTTGTACATAAATTCGCAGGAAGCATATTGTCATTGACCAATGGAGTAAGGTGCGTGCTAAAGGTCCGGGGTTCGAATCCCTATTCTACCTCATTTTTTTTCAAAGGGATGTCCCTGGAATATCCTTGTGGCGTCCTAGGGATATTCATTGTTCGGACTTGGGACGTACTTGTATTGTTAGGGCATCGATCTCTATTCTTTATTTTATAAATTAGCCTTTCTTATTGAACATAATATACTGTTTCATGTTTCGTTCGCGAAACATCCAGAAATGAGTGAAATTTTATGTTTTTCCAATACACCTAGGTATATTCTTCTTTGTCTTCATTCATTCTCCAAATATTCCAACAAGATGTCACTGATGTCTATCGATTGGATTTTCTCTTAAGCTGTCCTTACTATACAGGTTTATTGAAATAAGACTCATTTCCATTCATAGAAATTAGGAGGAGGAGAGATAATCCCAAAAATCGAGAGAAATATATACTTACTTATATTATTTATTTATCACCTATTTTCAGATTCAAATAATGAGACGAAAGAAATTGGCCCAGATGACAAATATTACATCATTTATACCATCATGATGCTATTCGGTATAATGCACTTATTACCAATATCATTCTTTGCAACAGCGAACGATGTAAGTATCAGATATAACTTTGTGAATAATATAAGTAGTTGATGTTACATAACATAACATATATTGTTGTTGACATCAAAAAGTATATAGGTAGCCTTATAATATTAGATTCTCTGTACTCTTCATGGAATGAATGGTGGCTTCCCAGATAGCACAATAATGTCATTCATGGATGTTCAATAGATATAATTCAATGTTTGACGTGGCAAATAGCCAGGAAAGTAGTTGTTTTCTGTCGAATATTCAGAATGATATTATGTGCATATCTTTATATGAAGGAGAATGCAAATTCTCTACATCAGAAGATTTTGTTTTTTAAATTCTCATCGTGTATGTTAATAGATGTAATTCAATGTTCGTCGTGGCTTACAGCCAGCAAAATAGTTGTTTTCTGTTGAATAAACTGAAAAAGAATTGATATTTTCATCACATAGAGAATGTGAATTCTCAATGTATTTCTTTATATACAGTATGATGCAAATGTATGGAATAAATTCATTTCAAAACAAGAGGACTTCCGAAAAAAATCCAGAAAGTAGAGTTCAGAACTTTTTTATCGATGTATGTTTTCAACTAGACGACCCTTCGATATTCAATTCTCAGTAGAAGATCTCTGCAAGATTCAGTTGACCAAATGATAATCCCTTTTAATTTCAATCTTCTTTTGCAAAATTTTGACTATTGAATAGACGATCAGTAGACCTTTCAAACGAGGTGTCACATGTTTGTATTTAAAAAAACCGTCCATTACGTCATTACTCCAACACCGGTGATGTAACATCTCTCATATGAATGTCATGAGATGAGGTTTCAAAAATTAAAACTCACGTGTTTTTGGAATTTCTTCTAATGTCGCCCATTTCTGAAATAATGAATTCATTCCATACCTTTGCATCATACTGTATATATATCCTTTTTTTGTTCATAATAATATCTGAGAATATTCCTTTTCATTACTTTCACCCAATCAAGGGGTTCAAACTTGAACGATGGGAACTTGGTATTTTTATAGACCTCAATCGCAGATTCTTGATTAGGTTTTCCCAATTCAGAATTTCTTTCCACGTCCTGTATGATGAATATCAATTTGTCATACATCCAAAAACGTTCATACGATATCCTCCAAGAATGTTTGAATATTCTCAGAATATTCTCATAATATGATGGAAGTATTCTAGGGACGTTCTATGTACAATCGGAATGGACTATTTTGAATTTCTAAGAATATTTCTGGAAAATTATAGGAGAAGAAAGAAAGAAATTTGAAAAAATTGCTCCGACCGACATGCGAACCTACTTTCTCCTTATTGAATTTTTTCAAACCGGACACCTTTTCCACAACGCTACGAACCTTATTGATGAAAAACATAAATAGCAAAATTTCAATACATGAAAATGAATAGCAAAATGGTCAATACTTTAGCATTGAAACTAGAGAAAAATAGGTTGGGTCAGGGGGAACATTACAAATATTCATACAAGAATAACATTAATATGATATTTTGATACGATTCTGTATATTCCCAGAATATTCGGAAATAATATTCTGAGGATATGTCAAAATTGAATGTTCATAGCATACCGGGTGACACAAGGTATCGGGCCACCCCTGTAACTTCTGCATTCGTCAACGGATTTTTCTGAAATTCGGTACAGTTATATAAGCAATTATTTCGGATTTGATCACATTACAATCCAATATGGCGGACTTCCGGTATTTCTGGAAATGCCAGCAACTTTGTTTTTTCAAATGAAACACCCTGTATATTTTTATATATTCAAGTTCAACAGGTCGTAACAAGTGCAATCTTTATGTCAAATGTCATTTTTTCGAAAAAAATTTGATTAAAATTGTTTTTTTATTTTACCTCGTGGATAAATGAGATGTGGTCAAGACTATTCACAATGAGTCACACATAACAGAAGAACATAATTTTTTCTGGAAAATTATTTTTTGTGTCACTTATCCAGGAATCAATTCAGACACATCACTTTTTGATCAAAAATTATTTTTTTTCAAATGGAACCCCTATGGGCCACCTACCCGTTTCTCTAGAACATACATTAAGGAACAAAATGACATATCATTTTTGTTTTTCGGTGCAGTAACAAATTGTATACATTCAAAAATTAGTTTATGAATTTCCTTGCAGTTAGAATAATTTTTCAACTAGGTAGGCTGTGGAATAAATGACATTTGACATCAAGATTGCACTTGTTTTGACCTGTTGAACTTAAATATGTGAAAATATACAGGGTGTTCCATTTGAATAAACAAAATTGCTGGCATTTCCAGAAAAACCGGAAGTCCACCATATTGGATTGTAATGTGATAAAATCCGAAATAGTTGCTTATATAACTGTACCGAATTTCAGAAAAATCCATTGACGAATGCAGAAGTTACAGGGGTGGCCCGATAGCCTGTGTCACCCGGTATTTGTTGCAGGATGAAAATATTCTATGATCATTCTATCAGAATATTCTAAAATAAGTATATTTGAACGTTGTTGAAATATTCTTTGAATATTCTGTGCTGTGTGGGTTATGAACATATATGTATAGAGAAATAAGGGATCAAAAGTGCCCTTTATTTATTCCCTGAAGTTTGAAAAAAAACACATATTGAAAATTGTATTTTTCAGTACTGGATGCATAAATTCAGGAATACATCTTTGCCAACTATAGATCCACGCTTCAGGTCCAGTCTCCAGTCAAACTTTGAATCTGGTTCTACCATAGCACAGACAGTACCAACAGTGATATGCATGGTACTGTCAACGATGTTTGCTTATAAAATCAGGCTGAGAACCAGAGTTCTCGTCTCCTTGATCGTATTAGCATCCTGTTTGGCTTTAGCAACTGTGTTCATAAAGATCGATACTGATGCATGTGAGTTTAGTATCTACCTATCTATATACAGGGTGTTGCGAAATTCGAACGACAACGCTGGACAGGTGATAGCCCTCGTGATTTCATAATCACTGAGATAGGGACATACGGTTTTCAAGTGTTCAGTTCTTGAGATACAGGGCGTTGAAGTTAAGAAATTGAAATAGTTTTTTGCCTACAGGGGGGCGTGGCAACTTTTCCTCCCATATTTACTACGCCACTGATTAGATTTATTTCCAATTCCTCGAAATCATTGTTCAATTTTGTTCATAAAATGCATCACCTTCAACTGAGCTGAAATGAACAGTTTTCTAGATATTCGACCGAAAATAGAAGATTGCATAGTAATATTTCATCATTTTCAGTAGTAGAAAATGTTAAAAAAATTTTTTTGGTATTGAGTAGATTAGATACTATTCAGATCTCATTCTGTAGCTGGACAAAAATAGTTATTCCACGCACAAAGAGAAAACAAAAACTTTTGTAATCTTCTACTACTGAAGATGAAAAATTGCTATGCAAACATCTATTTTGGGTCAAATATCTCGTTAACTGTTCATTTTAGCTCAGTTGAAGATGATGCAGTTTCTCAACATGATTGAACAATCGAAATTTCATCAGTGGCGTAAAAAATATGGAAGGAAAAGTTATCACAACCCTCTGTAGCGCACCACTGTGTAAAATTCTTGGAATGTCTTTCTGGTCAAAAAATTAACCATTGAAACATGAAACCATATACCGAATTTGAATGTATTATATTGAATTTTTCTTGAGATATTGCGAAAAACCTATTTAAATTTCATAACTTCAACGCCCTGTATCTCGAGAAATGAACACTTCAAGACCATATGCCCCTATCTCAGTGTTTATGATATCACGAGGTCTATCACCTGTCAAGCGTTATCGGTCTATTGGATATGGATATTACTCATTTTAGAACAATATTTTTGACGTTTGTAAAAAATATTTTATTCGAAACTAGTGCGTGAAATACTTTGGCGATCAAGAACTGATTCTTCTTAACAAGGCGCCCAAAGTAGCATTTTGCGCACTAGATACATAAATAACTATTCCAATGATGCTTCTAAAATACTAAATGATATTGTATATTTCAGGGCAAATTGGATTTTTTGCATTTACAATGACCATTTTGGCAATTATGAATGGTAAAGTATACAGGGTCTAGAAAATGTGAGAATATGTTTATGAGGGTAATTCGCAAAAAAATTCAGTCAGGTTGAACGTCTATGAAGAAGATTCTGAAATACCATCGAATAAAAAAGAAATCAGAAATCATATGCATCGCCGGAAAAAATTCAAGAGTTCAAGAGGAAACCTGGAATTGTTTTCCGATGTTTCAAGTAGATTTCTATTGGACCTATAGTTTTTGATCTCAAGACACTTTTCTGCTTGATTTTTAATATACATGTGAACTGTCTTTATACTGTCTGTCGGTCGACCGAGGAAATCCCTCAAGAAAACGAATACGACTGCAAACATAGGTACAGCCAAATGCAGATAACATACAGGGGGTCGTGAATGCTAGGGCTGATATAGTGAGCCAAAATAATGTTAGTACCTTCTTCATATAAAAAATAATTATTTATTATGCAAGAGAAAAAAGTAGTGCATGGATTTTAGCTCCACGTTTTGTTGTCTCCCGATGCGTGGCGGAGGAAGACAAAAAACCGAGCAAAAAACTTTGAGCTTAAATCTAATATTTTTCCCGTGTATAATACTCTATTTTTTCCTGTGACAAAAAGAAGGACGAATCAATATCGAGGAGATATTACATTATATTACACTGAGGAAAATTTCTATTAACCATTGTCAGAAATCGAATTACCCCAGCAAGAAACTCTGATAGCATAGGGGACAAGCGAGTTATCACCTGTGATTATAAAGTCGACTTTGCTGATTATAACCCACCTGCGATTATTAGATATAGAACCTTGCTGTCACTAGCGAGTGCATCTGTATGATGCTATTAGACGATGTTTCTGTAGTAGGTATCTGACTTTGCTACCGCTAGTGAGTGCATCTAATAATGGGGGTAGGGCAATGTTATAATCGTAGGTAGGGAACTTTGCTACCCTTGATGGGTGATCATATAGATAGTTGCATGACCTTCTTACTGTATAGTTATTCATTTATTTTCCAGGATTGTTGTCATCAAGAAAGGTGAAATTTTGACTGATATCCACTTTCACTTTCCATAATTTCCACCCTGATGTTTGGTATGAATAGCAATTTATTGTTTCCTAAAGAAAATTTGGGACCAATGATCTTTGAAATTCAATAGATCAATTGATTCATGCACCCTCAGGAGAAACCAAAGGGTTTTTTGAGTAATTGATGGAAAAAAGAATTTTTCTGAAACCTTCTGAAACCATTGTATTTCGAAAACTAACAAAATGTTACCAGTAAAATCATTCAAATAATTTCATCACCTGGACATTTTTGCTCACAATAAGTTTTCAGACCAGATTCTATGGAGAAGCTCTGGAACATATTTGACCATTTTAAAGTTCCATGATACCAAAGAGAGGAAAATGTTATTGAATGCAAAATATTTGAATTCTAGACGAAATACCTCGAAAAAACTCACCTTCATCATTCCATCAATCCTGGTATGATAACTGAAGCACTCAGATCTACGAAAGCACTGTAAGGGACACAGAAGATTTTTTTATTTTTTTGAAAATGTTTCCATTTTATATTTGAATTCAGATTCAGATTTTGAATAATGAATTGAATTCAAGAGGGGAAGTATTCGTAACTCTCGTGTCGTCGAGATTGTCGTCCTGTACATGGGTTTGCATCAAGAGCCCAACTGTGAATGATTGATCAAGCAAGATGTCTGACAAATGTTTACATAGAGGGGGACAAATCAGCAAAAATCGAATAGCGATGAGTAGGCGCTAAATAACCCCAAGTTGGTTCGTCAAATATTATTTTCGTGGCAGACTGACAGTTGTATTATTGGAAGTGAGTGCAGTTCTATGCGATGAACCTCGCAGCCACAAGCATATAACTCACTAGTAGTAGTTCAGCTAGACAATTATAAAAAAAATCATGCTGTCCCAGAGTGGCTGCCTGATAGCTACAGCAGTATACCTTTCTGTGGCAGGAAATTCACTTTCAGCAAAGTCGTTATTGCTATCATAGGATTTGATGGTGCTGCTTCTATTCGAAAATGTATAACGGTAATATGATTTCTTGTAATGGTAGCAAGAAATATCTCAGCAAAAACTCTAATAGCACAATTTTCCTCAGTGTATAATCAGAAATGAAAATGAAGTTTGAAGTTTTCAACACGAATGACACCTGCGTTGCATGCAGGCATCTTTTTGCAGGCATTTTTATCATAATTTTGAAATAATCAAATATCTGTCAGTCTAATTCTGTCATTTGATTTCAAAATATTGCGAATTTAGTGGTTGTTTCTAACTATCAAGGTCAATTACACCGTAACGAAATTTTTTTTATATGAAGTACTGACATTATTTTGGGTTACTCTATACCATCTAACCTCGACATGTTTTCTGCATGCGACGTCTCGTTCGTTTCTAAATACCCCTTGTATGTTGTTGAAAAAGAAAAATAGTGACAGTGTCAGATAATAAATGAATGAATGATGTAAATGTCAATAAATAATATAAAGAAATTGAGGAGAAGAAAATAAGTGAGAAGAAAAGAAATAGAGTTAACTGATAGGTACCTACTGAATTCTTCAGATTTAGTGGTTATTTCATCTCGAAAGGGGAGCCAGCCATAAACAGGATCCAAACCCTTATTGTAGTAGTGACTAAATCAAACTTACTCATTTCATTCTGGCATCCGATAAAATCCATTTTAATTTCAACTTACCGGTTGTTTCCTAACCTCACTGAGTCACTGATATAATGAAAGGAGCGAATTCTTGCTCAATTTTGAGACGAAAATGTAGGGCCGATCTTCTTCGAATGTCGCTTCGTTTTCAAAATACAAGGTGTTTCAAATTCTATTTTTAAATCGATTTTTTATTTTCCGTTCGAGTTTTGAGAAAGGGCTTAGGTGAATATAGAGTGATTTTTTTTTCCGAGAACGAGGTGATAGAGATCTTTGAAACATTCAGGAAATATTTTTGAATATCTTCTAGTGAGGTTGGTTGAGGATCTACAGGGCGTTGAAGTGCATCAAGGCAATTTATTTCTCCACAATATCTCAATAAACTTGTAAATTCGACTTGGGCGTTAAGTTTTGCTTAAAAAAGATGAAAAATGGCGTACTACTACATGTCAAAAGTTTTATTTTTTCAGATTTATTGCTCGAATTTCTAAAAAGTTTAGCTAGAAAAGTTATTGTTATTCTAATTTAACACCTGTGTCTTGAATTTGAACGTTCTATTGCAATCTTGACTGCAACTTCTAGTTATTGATATTTCTTCATATTGCTTCGAATTGTAACTTCGACAAAACTGTAATTTGATGATATTTCGATTAATGACTTTGGCATCATTCGAGTACTGAAAAAATTATTATGGAGCTACACATATTTATTAATATTACAGACATATCGTAAAAATTGAAAAAATATCAAAAACTAAAACTTGTTATTGAACGCTAAATTCGAGACACATAATTATGTAAAATTGGAATAGGAACAATTTATCCAAGTAAACTTCTTCGAAATTCGCAACATATTATCTATTCGATTTAACATACCGAAGGTACTCTCAGCATTTGTCGCTGAAAGCGCTCAACATTCTTGATAAAAACTGGTTTGAAGTTGAACTTTTGCGTTGAAATTTTTGAAAAATAATCGAAAAAATATATATTCAATAGCTTGTATTATTAAATAACAAACTTAGATCAGTTACAAGACTAAGACTGAACTAGTTAATAACATTTACATCAATAATTGCTGAAAATGACCACCGCCTACTTCAATCATGCAAAATATTTTTTTGGACGCTCTGTATCCCAAAAATCAAGCCGTTGCGGATCATTTTCATGTGAACTTTTCATCTTGTAATCATTCAAAGATAAACCCTTTGAAGTTTGTTCAATTACTTAATGAACACCCTCTATATATAGGGTCTATACGTGAAAGTACGGTATGACTCTGATGCACTTCAATGTCATGTCGAAGATTCATCTTCCACTAACTTTTTTCGGAAAAAAATTGAATCACACCAATTCATTTTTACACTTTCGAAGGAATCCTGGCGTTATTTCAAGTGAGCACTTTAGCATTACTCTCCAAGTTCCCCGAAAACTACATGAAGACCTTCCTAGTCGGGCAAGGAGTAGGAGGAATTTTCAGTTCTGGCCTCCAAGTGGTGGCACTAATTTTGGGAACCTCCTCAGAAGCTTCAGCTATGATCTATTTTCTGATTGGTATGTACAACATAGCCTTAGTGTGTTCTATATTTATCTCCTTAACCTCCAAACTAGATTAAATAAACAGGGTTACTGGTAATTCGATACATTCCTATATGATGAGGGATGTAGAAAGGAGTGAATTCAACCCTAATATGCATTATGCTGAAGTCAATAGTTTTTGAGATATTCAAATTTTCCTGATTTCCTCCAAAAGGTAGACCTCAATGGTTTGAAAGTTAGTTTCCCGAAAATCAGCTGTACATTTTTTCAACCTTTCAACTATAACACATCATTAACACTATGGTCTTATGTTCTGGAATGAAAAAAATCCAGAAATACTTTAGATCATAGACGAATTGTAAATTCAGAGTGGTATTTTTGTTTGTGAATTGCGGATTGTGAATTGCGGATTTTTACACTCTCTAGTGGTTATTTTTTGAAAAATCTCTAAGCCACACATGTCAAAAATTTTTCAAAACATCCTTGAGGTACTAGCTGTCTCACTGGGTACGAATGAATCTGAAAGTGTTCGATATGCCCGATATGGGTTTGTTATTTCAAACGAGTAGTAAAAAATTGAGCATCTGTAACAACTCTGAATTTTTTTGTTTGGTACAGATTTGTTGTGTTGACAGCTTGGCTTGGGACTCTTTGATCGTTATTTAATAGGGCCACATTTTTTCCTTGACAATTCACACGGGAAAATGTATGAACATTTCCTACGTCATGATCTACAGCAGCTTCTTGAGGATGTTCCTCTCGCCATCAGAGGACGAATGATATTTCAACTATTATCGGCTGATCGTTCGGAAGTTCCTGGATGAACGTTTTCCTGACCGTTGAATTGGAAGGTCAGGTCCAATAGGTTGGCCAGCGCGAAGCCCTGACCTAACCCCCCTTGATTTCGCGCTAGTTCACGAAACCCTAGTTAATATTCAGGAAGAGCTTTCAAAATGATAACCGACGCTGCCCTGCACATACGAAATAATTTGACATCTAGAATAACAAAGACGGAAATGAGAATAAGACGCTGCCGAGCATGAATTCTTAATAGAGGCTCTCAATTCGAACAGGATTTGTAAAAAGTAAATACTAATACATGAATTTGAAGTACGTTTTCACTAATCATTCAATTTAACAAACCCATATCAAGCACTTTCAGTTTTATTTGTACCCAGTTAGATAGCTATTACCTCAAGGAAGTTTTAACAAATTTTTGACATGTGGCTCAGAGGATTTTCTTAAAATAACCGCTAGAAAGTGATAACATCTGCAATTCACAAACAAAAATACGACTTTGAATTTACAATTCATTAATGATCTAAATTATTTCTGTACTTTTTTCATTCCCAAACCTTAGACCATAGTTTTAATGATGTATTATAGTTGAAAGGTTGAAAAAATGTACAGGTTATTTTCGGTAAACTAACTTTTGAACCATTGAAGGCTATCTTTTGCAGAAAATCAGAAAAGTTTGAATATCTCAAAAACTAATGACATTTGCATAATGCATATTAGGGTTGAATTCACTTCTTACCACCTCATCTATCACATCTCCAAAGGAATTTATCGAATCACCAGTAACCTTGTATAGCTGTTTCTTGAAGAACGTTCGCTAATTGCTGGGCCGTTATACTATTAATTGCGCGTCTTACTCGCAACCCCAGGTCCTCGCGAGTTGTAACGGCGGTTGCATAGACAATGTTTTTCAAATGGCACCAAACAAAGAAATCAAGAGGTGTCAAATCAGGTGACCTTGGAGGCCATCGCACAAGATAATTCGTCGAAATTACGTTTTCTCCGAATGCCTGTTGAATTATGGGGAGCAGCTCCATCTTGTTGGAAATACATTAACTGTCGTAAATGGACAGGTAATTCAGTTAACCTGTCCTCAATGTCATTTTGCAGAAATTCTAAGTATCTAGCTCCAGTCAAGGGTCTTTCAAATATTATTGGACCAATGATTCTACGATCGAGTATTTCAAGCCAAACATTGAAACCGAACCGTACTTGAAAGTTACCCTCCCGTAATAAATTTTGATTATCTTGTGACCAATACCTTGTATTTTGTCGGTTGAATAATCCCATATTTGTAAAGCTAGACTCGTCTGAAAATAAAATCCTTCCCAAAATATCATTGTTTGGCTGCACATTATTCTGCAAGATCCAATTGCAATATTCCATCCGTTCATAATCATTTTCGTACAGGTGCTGGTGTAATTGATATTTGAAAGATTTATAATTATGTTTGTGCAAGATTCGGTTCCGTTCCTTCGTCAATGATTAAGTTGTAGTTCTAGCCGCAACGGCATTTTTTCTACATTCCCCATAAATAATTAACATGTCCACTTTTTCATCTCTTGTATGAATGTGCGGCATTTTGAACGTGAATAACAACAAATGTAAAGACTTCTTCAATACACAATAACATCACCGATAAACCAACAAACATTTATTTGACAATCTGAAGGAATAATTTCATTGTTTTCAAAGCCACCTTAGTAACTTCTCAGCATTAAATTAGAACAAATTAATTGTATTTTCTTATTTTCTTTTAGCTGTGATTTTGATTATATTTGTCGCACATTTTATTAGCAGGTATGAATAAATTGCTTATTAATAGTACTAATAAATGGTACCACGGTACCAATATGGTTCCATTACATCCAATCGATTACGATGAACTTTATTTGCTCATAAAAAACGCAATTTAGTATTTTTGACGGGATTTCGATTTTTCTAGCATTAGACGGGTCAATTGGAATAAATAGGAACCATCATGACACACTAAAATGGAAAACTAAAAATTAAAATATTAAAAATGTTTACGTTTGAAATGTCACTTATGTGGTATCATTGGATTCAGAAAATTATGCAGATTTCAGAAATGTGATAATATACTGAGTGTTCCATTTGAAAATGGAAAGTTGGTATAACTTCCGGCGAAACCGGAATTGGAAAAAAAAACATCTGTAGGTCAAAAAGTGCCTCTTATCATGTATATGGGATATCCCAAATTGCAATCAATTACCTCTGAAACTAACGGAGATACGGGGGGTGTACCATGATCTTGTTACACCCGGTATATTGAATCCTCTTCAATGATGTTTTATTTATTTTACAGGTACGCTGATGGCATTAGTTACTCTTATTTTGTTCTACGTAACCAAGCATCTGAATTTCTATCAATATCACATAGGAAGTTCTTTGGAAGAAGTGAAGCGAGATTTAATAAGCTTGAGTGAAGTGAGAGATATTGCGGGAAAGATTTGGTCCAGCTTGGTGATTACTATGGCTGCAGCTTTGGCTTACGTTCCCACTCATCCAGCTATAGCTGCCCTAGTCGCTTCTGAGCATAGGGGGGACCATACCCCATGGACTGGTGAGAAATAGGTGATTTTTCTTTAAAGGCTCATGGAGTCCTGATGGAAGATTTCTTGGAACATGTTAGATCCTAAGCTGATAGTGTAACTGCCATTCTCATCTTAGAATTCTTCCATGTTGTAATTCACATTTCAGAGGAAATTATATATTTTTTTCTGTGACGGGAAAAAAGTTTGGCATTTCTCCAGATACTTCCTATACGCCATCCAACGTAAATCACCCTGTATACGCAAGCTCAGAATCGAACGAAATTTTCAGCTGTCTTATTTCTGCTTTTGGGTGTATGATAAATTGACATTCATCATACAGGGCGTGGAAATGAATTCTGAATTGAGACTCTATCACGAATCTGCGATTAGAGGTCTATAAAAATCACAAGTTTCCATCGTTCAAGTTTGAACCCCCTGATTGGGTATGAAAGTGTTGAAAAGGAATATTCTCAGATAAATTATGAACATACAAAAATGGATATATATTTATATAAAGCAATACATTGAGAATTCGCATTCTCTATGTGATGAGAATATTTACTCTTTTTCAATAATCGACGTGGCAAATAGCCAGGAAAGTAGTTGTTTTCTGTTGAATATTCAGAATGATGTGTGTATATACATATTTTTGTCTGAAGGAGAATGCAAATTCTCAATTTCAGAAATTTTTATATTTTATTTTCAAACTCTTATCGTGTGTGTTCAATAGATATAATTCAATGTTCGTCGTGGCATATAGCCAGGAAAGTAGTTGTTTTCTATTGAATTAACTGAAAAAGAGTAAATATTCTCATCACATAGAGAATGCGAATTCTCAATGTATTGCTTTATATAAATATATATCCATTTTTGTATGTTCATAATTTATCTGAGAATATTCCTTTTCAACACTGTCTTATTTCTATTTGTGACCACTTTAGTCAACTTTTTTGTTTTCAGAAAAATATTTCGTGGCTGTGATTACTTTCCTATTCAGTGACATATGTTGTCTGGTTGGACGAATCTTAGCATCAACATTAAAAAGGGTAAGAATCTTGACACTGATCGTTCAACAGATTCCTGTTATAATTGACAAAAATTCGTCAATATTTCAGAGACCGAGTGATATTAGCCTAGCAGCAATTGCAATATTGAGGATGATCATTTTTCCTCCTCTCTTCATGTTTTGTAATGCCCTTCCAAGATCCCATTTGTCTGTGTGGTTCCCACATGACTGGCAGTATATTATCATTTTAGGCAGTTTCATGATAAGCAGTGGGTATTTATTCAATATAGCGTTTCTGAATGTGATCAGGTACGTGAGAGCAATTATTCGGATATAATGTTGATGCAAGGTTGTTTTGGTACAGCAATTTATCTCTTAAATTTTCTCCAGATTAGCTCCAGAAAATCAAGAAAATGCATATCTGATCATGCAAACCTGCATTGGAGTTGTTGGGGCAATATTCTCCCCTCTAGGAGTTCTGTGCGTTCATTTATTGTGAAGTTCCACAGCCAGATGGCTATGGAAGTACCTATTGAGTTGAGATATTACGACATTTCTACCTGTATTGAAGAAAAAAGATATCTATTATGTATTTAAATCTACAATGTTCTTACTATCACGAGAATTTCGACGCATTCTTTACTAATAAACTTTTTTCAAAGATTCATGGATATGGGTATTACATATTTTATATGGGGTGGATAATATAAAAAGCGAAAAAACAATACGGAACTGAATACTGTTGAGGAATATTCATTTTGGAAGCTATTGAATTTTTGAAGTTTGCCGGGAAAATTCATCCTAATGAAACGATATGCAGTAATTAATAGTACATATTTTCTACGAGTTGATAATGAAGATTATACCATTTTACTTAATAAATTATATTCCATAGGTGTCAGAGTAAGAATTCATGATTGGTTCACAAATTATTTGACAAATAGCATACTTGAAGATCACTTATGAATATCACATGTGGAGTACCGCAAGGATAAGTTTTGGGACCAATTTTATTTTTAATTTATATAAATTCAATATCAACTCTGAAATTGAGGAAAAAGCTCAAATTATCCGCAGATGATACACCATTGATTTATGTATCGAAAGAATTAAATGATATCGAACGGGATATTAAACGTAGACATATCATGACTCTTAATTTCAACAAATCTTCATATATGTATGTCCCCAAGAGACTATGTAATATTTCGAATAGTGCAATAACTGTCAACAATATATTCATTAAATATACAGAGAAAACAACATTTTTAGATCTCTATATTGATGAAAACTTATTGTGGACTAATCACATAAACCTTTCAATAGATAAAACAAATCCATTTATAGGCATTTTATTCAAAATCTGAAATATCATCCCTGTAAAATACCTAAAGTGTATTTACTTTTGCCACATATATTCAAATTTACAATATTCAATTTATATTGGGGGGAGCACGAATATTCCATTAGTGGTTTAAGGCTTAAACCCCAATGAAATTACAAAACAAACCAATTGAGTGCTTTTTTAAATCTAAAATTTTTAGAACCAACGGTAAATTTCTACAAACCTAGAAATTTTCAAAATCTGATTTTGTTATATAAACTCGAAATATGTTGTTTTATTCATTTTGTCAGTAATAAATTGAAAATATCGAACTAAGCCTCTGATGAAGTCAATACAGTCCATAGTAATGGGACTAGACAACTGAATTACTTGATAGCGAATACATTCAAGTCGAACATAGGCAAACAATTTGTATTTGGAATAATTTTATACACTTCATCACCGAATGTATTAAAAAATATACATGATGTAAGAAAATTTGAAGTTAATCTGGTCGGGACTTCTTGATTGAAAAATAGTTGACATGATTTGATTACTCAGAATTGAAATGTTACAACTTCCATCTTAACCTTTCAATACTATTATTATATTTATTTATATGTGTCCATGTATCCCTATCATGAAAAGATATATTTCTTCTGTGGTAAGTAGCCATAATGCGCACGTAGCATAGTATACTTTGTCTACAACTATCCATGTATCGAGCAATGCTGATATTTCAGAAATATATCTATGAAAATGAGTAAATCAGCTCACGAGGGATTTCGATAGAGTTATTAAAACTGTTAAGAGTAGTAGAAAAACACATCAGTCAAGAATATATGAGACGGTTACTATCAAATTTGGTGTAATTATTTCACAATCATTCAGAATTCGATATTTTCATCTGATATCTACAAATGATACTCACCTGTCAAGAAAATCGATTCCCTCAAAATATTGATGAAGTTTTCTCATCGATAACTCCATTAATTCGAGTCAGCAGTGATCATTCTTTTCATTATAGCATTAATAAATGTATAAGCAATCTAGTGCTTTTTGACTCTTAGTTCAAAGCAATCAATACAGTGGTCAAACTTTACCAGCCTCATATAATTTTTCACTTTGTTATCAAGCTGCGATGAGTTATTCAGAAATATAGCTTGAAATCATTTAGGTCGGTATAGTTCTGTGTCCAAATTTGAAAAAAAAATCTGCTAGGTATTTCAACGCTATTTGAAACATTGGAACATAATATTTGGCTTAGGATTTTGAAATTTGTGTATGGAATAGAGATTCTGCCACCTAAGGTGCGTACTTTAGAGAGACAAATTGTGATTTAAAAAAATTTAAAGGCTTATCTTCTAGATTCGTCACGAAATTCGATTCAAGAATTTCTTATCCCTCACATGCATTTGAACATTTCTTGAGATATCAAACCTTGTCAGATATATATGAAAGAATGATCGAATCAATCAATCGAAAGTTATTGATCAGCAAACTTCATGGATATTTTGAGTGAATGGATTATTTTGTCGGTGTAGTTAGATGATACTTGTATAAAAATTGTTCAAATGTAAAAACTTCACAAACGATAAGATTTCCACAAAATTCTCAAACACATGACATATGTTTCGCTAACACAGCAGCTTCGTCAGGTGATAAACTGGTACAATGAACTAAACCAACGTTGGCTTGCTTAACTTTTATATATCCTACTTTCCCAACCTGAAGGATTAGTTACCTGTGGACAGGTACGATAAACCTTCATTTTCGAAAATAAGGCATTAGGTTTATCGTATACCTATCCACAGGTAAATAATCCTTCAGGTTGGGGAAGTAGGATATATGAAAGTTAAGCATAACATGTCGTGTGTTTGAGGATTTTGTGGAAATCTTATCGTTCGTGAAGTTTTTACATTTGCCATGGATTTCTATCATTCCATCAAGTAACGGCCGAGTCAATTCATAAAAAAAATGAAAATTGCTCATTTATAATCAGAATGAAGGAATTTCACTTTGTTTTTTATCGATTATATCATCATCAAGGCACATCAGATACATGAATGTGAAATAGAGAGCTGGGGCACTGAGAAGATGCCACACGTCATGCTTATCGAAGAAATTTATCAGAATGCAGGCTTGGTTCCATTGTCGAGACTCAGCTGGAGTAACCTGTAAGTGAAAATATGTCATTAGTATCCCAGCTAAAGAATGCTTTTCCATTATCATTGGAAAAAATAGAAATCGCTCAAACTTGTCGAATTTAATTCTGAATCTTTGAGACAACGATGGGTGAATTGTGTTGACTAAATCTGAACTGAATCGCTTGATAAGTATTTTTTTAGTAGGTACTGATGATCGAAAATATTCAGAATTTTATTAACGACGATGAATTATCTATCTTTATTTTCAAGGAAATTTACAGCAGGTTATTTTCCATGAATACTATGGACTTTAACAAAAACGTTCAATGACTATTCACAGCAGATCGAACCATCATGCTGGAAGACAGCTATATAGAGTCCAACCAAACCCCAAAAAGGGAACAAGAACCTGCCCAACAACTACAGGTCCATTGCCCTGTTATCAGCAATTTCCAAAGTGATTGAGAAAGCCATCAATATTGAGCTTATCAAATATCTGGAGAGCTCAGGAATCATCAATGATAGACAATACGGCTTTCGCCACCGAAGATCTACTGGAGATCTACTTGCCTACGTCACCCATTTATGGCAAGCTTCATTAGAAAAACACGTGGAATCTCTAGCTGTCGCGTTGGACATATCGAAAGCATTTGACCGTGTTTGGCACGAAGGATTCCTCCACAAACTACCATCATACGGCTTACCACCTCAGCTATGCCATCGCTTATTGAGTTTTCTTTCAGGCAGATCGCTTCACGTGGTGGTGGACGGTGTATCGTCTGATACCTTTGGCATCAATTCCGGCGTTCCACAAGGATCAATTTTGGCACCAACATTATTCCTGCTTCATATCAATGATCTGTTGGGAGTAACAACTTGCCCCATCCACAGCTTTGCAGATGATAGTACCCTCCATACTGCGTTCTCTTCCAGAATTCCCATTTCTTCCCAGGAAACTTAGAACCCACGGCGCAGGCAGGTCAATGCTGTCAATGGAGACCTTGCTGAAATTACAGCCTGGGGAACCAACAACCTAGTTGAATTCAACGCCACCAAAACTCAAGCCTGTATTTTCTCTAGAAAGACGGAACTCAGTATGCCCGTTATTGTTATGTCTGGCACCACCATATCCACCAAGCCCACCATATCTATGCTCGGTATTTCCATCAGCAACACCCTTTCATGGGATAATCATATCAGATCCATCGCAAAAGCTGCTTAAAAAAACTCGGATTCTTGTTCCGTGCGAAAAGCTACTTTACACCTCAACAGCTTCTCATGATCTACAAAGCGCAGATACGGCCTGTTCTAGAATACTGTTCCCACATATGGGGTTCAGCACCAAAACATACGCTGATGCTCTTAGATTCCATCCAGAAAAGAGCCATTCACCTGGTGGGTGACGCCACACTCACTCACTCTTTGACATCATTGGAACACCGTAGAAAGGTCGACGACCTTTCACTTTTCTATCGATACTTCCACGGGAAATGTTCTTCGGAAATCTCTGCTATCATCCCTTCACTAGCAATACCAATCAGACGAACTAGACAAGCCCAGTCAGCACATCCTTTCGTTGTCAACCTCGAAAGATGTCGAACAGCACTTTATCAAGACTCCTTCATCCATAGAACGGCTAGGCTCTGGAATTCATTGCCTGTGGAAGTATTCCCAACAACATATAATCTCCAAAAGTTCAAAAAAAATTCCAATACCTACCTCCTGTCCCTATCCTCCCTAGGAACGCACGATGTTCTTTGAACATTATAGGCATTCCCTTTCGTGCGCTCCAAGCAATAAAAAAAAAGGAGAATGCAAATTCTCTACTTCAGAAGATTTTGTTTTCAAATTCTTATCTGGTGTGTTCAATAGATATAATTCAATGTTCGTCGTGGCATGTAGTCAGGAAAGTAGTTGTTTCCTGTTGAATAAACCGAGAAAGCATTGATATCTTCATCACATTGAGCATGCGAATTCTCAATGTATTTCTTTATATATATATAAAGCAATTTTTTTATGTTCATAATTATATATGAGAATATTCCTTATCAATATTAATCTTTTCTGTTTTGTCTATTGTCTATTGAAGATTCTGAACATATCCCAGGAAATAAAATCGAAGAGATTATTTTGTGTCCATTGATTCATAGCAAAAAATGTTATCAGCAATTAACAACAGTCGTCTATTGAAGAAACAAAGGAAATGTAATTACTTCGAATGAGGTAGATAATTCCGAGGATGATTCGTTATGTCAACAAGAATCTGTCGAATCAGTACTAGCAAGTGCAGTTGTCATAACAATGTATGTGAGCTATAAAAACTTTGGCTTGATTTTGGCGAAACTAGTAAACATTTTTTTTGGGGCGTCTACAAAATTCTTTTCCTAGTGCACCTCATTCGAGATTTCATATTGAAAAAAAAAATAGTTAACGAGTTAATTCATAAGATTTCGTGGAAATTATGAGCAAAACTGTAGGATAGATTAGATTAGATTAAGAGAGGTTATTATTATTAACATTATCAATTAATTATTCATCGGCGGAATGGAGAATTTTCCAGCAAGGTATACTAAAGATTGAACATAACACCATTTCCCTCATCGCAATGGAATTTACATTACCCTATACATACTGTGGCATACTTACTGTCCAGAGAGTGGCATTATCAAGGAAAAAAACAGCAGAACCTGCCCAGCATCCAAGGCTCAGAAGTCCATAGCAAATTGCTTCAAAGCAAATGCGTTCGTTATGAATCAACTATAACAAATGCCAAAACATTATTCAATCTATTCAATGAATCGAAAGTAGGCGTTTGGTCTTTCACTCAAGGACACAAAGCTGTCAATACACTCCCACGGGAGGAAAAAAACATAAATTGAATTGGCTTCGGCATGCTTGAGGGAGATTTACCTACCAATAAGATTCGTGCTATCCGAGGAATCAATGTAATCAACTAGGTTTCCATTTAGATCGACAATAGGCCGTGTGGACGATGAACGACCCTAGGGGTAAAAAATTGAAACACAACCCCACTCTTCTGTGAATTATTGAAACACAACCTCACTTTTTTATTTGGTTACAGAGGAATCAAAGGATTGAAATAGTTTTATCAATATTCTGGCAAACGAATCGTGTTTTTTGCGCTATTCATTAATTCAAGCATGCCATCACATTATGCTGTTGTATACAATGCACAAAAAATGCAGCGAGAGACAAAGGAATATTATTTTTCAGGTAAATAATGATCTCATATACCTACTTAGCTTTCATCGTGAAATGTTGTCGTTACTCATTAGAATTCCTTCTGCCACTTCTGCAACAATAGACTGAATAGCTTATACCACTAATAGATACCCAATCAGCCAAAGTACGTCTTAAAGGCGTCTTTAAGACGTACATGTCGGGACATAAGTACGTCTTAAAGACGTACATATTACGCCCAAGAGACGTCTTTAAGACGTCTTTAAAACGTACATTTTCCACTAAAATGTACGTCTTTAAGACGTCTTTTTTAGGTGTTTTTGCTCCATGACCTCAAATTGATCTTTCAAATTACGGAAAAATCACAAAGTTTCAGTTGATTTTCACCTGTGCACTGAAGTTAGCAACAAGTGCAGACAAGCAAAAAAAAAGGGAGATAAACGACTTCATCAAACGGTAGACACAAGCGGTCACCCATTCAACTATACTAACCGCGCTCTTTGTTGCTTGACTTCGATGATTATACCATATTCACTTCTTCTGTTACTCTGTTTGTTCTATATATCACATAACAAGCTTTTACTTAGTTTAACATGTCCTTGTGTCTGTTTGTAATCAAAACGTGCAAGTTAAATTTGACTCACTTTAAATCGTCCGATTGATTTGAAATTTGGCAAGTAAATATTATTCCGGTGACAATTCGTTGTGATATTATTATTGAATGAAAAAAACAGAATGGCGGATCCATTATGGCGGACGATGTGGCATATGGTTTTCTGATTATGGTCTGATCTGATTCAAAATTGGCATCTGAAGGATTTCGGGATCAGAGATTATAATTCCTTTTGTCGAAAATGAAAAATCCCAGATGTCGGCTTCAAAATGGCGGACGAGTTTTGTGATTATAGTCCGATTTTATTCAAAATTGATTACTATGGGACTTTTGGGGTCGGAGAATATGATTTTTTGTAAAAATTCGAGAATCTAACACGAAGGCTCCAAAATGTCGGACGAAAAAATTCAAAAACATCACTTTTGTTGAAAATAAGAAAAAACTGAACAATTGAAAATAAAAAACGTGAAGTGATGACATTTTGTTTTTCTTCAGAAAATAACTTACATTATTTTTCTATATAAGTCGAATTGACGTACTGGAATGTACGTCTTTAAGACGTCTTTTATACGACATGGGAGGAACGACGTGGATACGACCTAAAATGTACGTCTTAAAGACGTAAATTCGTGTACGTCTTTAAAATGTGCATGGATTTACATCTTAAAGACGTACTTTATACGTCCCTGGACGTAAAGACGTAAGTAAGTCGTAAAATGTACGTCTTTAAGATGTCTGGTGCTGATTGGGTAGAGTGAAAATGTCTACAACAAACACGATCATACTTCGTCAGATTGTCAGTCCAGTCCTTCCGTTTGATTGCCTATAGCATGAATCCAATCTTCATGCCTTCTTTTCTTCCCTAGTATTTCTATTAGCTCCTACTGCAGAAGGAATTTCAATGAGGAATGACATAATTCCAAAATGAAAACTATCTGTGGATGGTGGATGACTATACCTAGTACTTTAAAATCACAAATGTACTTACCTACTTGAGAAATGGGACACCTTCGTCAATCGCTGTATTTTTTAAGAATTGTACAACAGCAGAATGTGATGGCATACTGCTTGAATTAATGAATAGGCGGATAACACGATTTGTTTGCCAAAAATATTGTGAAAAACTATTTCCATCCCTTGTTAACAAATAAGAAAAGTGAGGTAGTGTTTCAATGTTTTAGTCAGTCATCTGACAGATCTTGCATTCGTGGTTGTTATGACAACGTGATTTTACCGGCTCGAAAAGAAGTAGCAGCATACTTTCGAGGTACAGCTTTATGATTGGTTCTTATATCGCAGGAGATGACAGTTTCATATACGTCGTGAAATTGTCGATTTAATACGATTGAAATATGCAAAAATCTTTTAAAATTGTTTCCGTTTTCCCACTTCACGAGCAACTCCCAGAAATCTTCAAAAGACTTGTGCGAGCAAGGAATTACGGGGGCCTTACCTTTTAACGTGTGATCCCAAACACTTCCTAATGCCATCAGTCGTGGGAATCGAACCCACGAACCGGCAATCCAATTGATAGAATACTGATGCTTTTGCCACTCGGTTACCTAGCCTCCTATATATGAGGTCATTGTCATTTAAAAAGAAAGTTGATTTGTTTTTTGATGATAATGAAACTGATTACATGAATTACGATATACGAAATATCGACGCTAAGGAAGTCACTATATTTCACCTACCATGGAAGGTATTTTTTTTCCTCCTGTGACAGTTAATTTATCGACAGTTCTGTATCCTTAGACAGCAAACGCCTACATTCGATTCAATGATTAGATCAAACTTTTTACCACTCCAACTTACTTTCATACAGGTATAAAATATTGTATGGATGACAGCATTTCCCAATAGAAGTCCCAAAAGGAATGTCCCAAAGTCTGTTATGTTTGTACTATACAATAACAGACCGATAATTAGGAATGAATAGTTAGCTAGGTTGGCTAAGACAAGAAGAATGAACCTTGCTGGAACAAACAAAATCTTTATAGTAAGTCTAAAAAAAATCAAGTATCGTGTTCACTGAAACGGTTTTATCTGTAGAATCTTCCTGATTTTCAAATTTAAGCTTACCTTTTCTGATAGGATTGAAGGTGTCGACACCAATTCCCTTCTTTTGAATATCTCGTTTCAACTGTTTCAACCCATCCAGAACAAAGTTCAAAAAGTATATTTTGAACGATAAAATAACAACTAGGGCAGAATAAAAAACTATAAAGATAATCCAGATTGCCAAGCTCCCATTCAGAATTCCAATCATTGCTGAAATATCAAATGTAAATGTTATTAGGGGTTCATATAAGGTAACATCTGTCATTTGAATTAGCAAGTCAAAAACTGAGAAGATGACCATCTTCCATCGTTTACAACTAAGAATTAACAATTAATGAGCAGATGGACTTGTTCCATGATAGTTGAGAAAACATTATTTATCCCAGTATTTACAGAAATACAATGTGAACACTTGCACAGCATCGGGATCTCGGAAATGGTACGAGATACAAAATTGGTTGAATGGGAAAACATTGCTCTTCAGAGGATCATTCCAGCAGCCATCTCAAAAATATTAATAGTTTTTGGGTTTTATCAAGAATAGTGAATTTGATGAGATTCAACGTGGTGAGATTGGTTTCTCTTTGCGACGTTCCGTTTTCGTCAAGCCATCATCAACCTATTTTTGCAAAGAAAAACTATCATCAGTTCCACTTATTTCTGATTTCGTGTCAAATATTTGTGTTGGATTATTCAATACAAAAAATTGGAGCAGAAGAAGAAATATTCCACTAAATTATTGTTTCACGAACCCATTTACGCCTACGACCGTCCTTTTAAAAGGACTTCAAAACGAAACCTGTATTTTCCTGATTCAGCTGACCATTTGGAGATGTCGACAGTGTCACATCTTTGTCTTGATTATTTTTAACGAATAACATAATTTACTAACTTTTTTATATTTGTGGTTCTATTCCACTTTTCTCGAACAATCCAGGGGCGTTCAATTGAACGACTCCCTCTGAAAGGACGGTAGAATTATATGCTACTATGCGGTTTACTCTGCAGGTTTTGAAAAAAGCCAGAAAAAAGCCGCACATTCCTACAGGCATATTATACTTTTTCAACCCTAAATTCCAATGAAAACTGCGATACCGATGCAGATTTTGGGGTTGAAGACGAAGTAGCAAATAATTTATCCGGAGTGCAACTAAGGGCCATTGCGTAAATTGAATTCGACGTGGAAGGTGATGACGAAGGGACAGTGATGACGATCTAACGCTGTCCACTTTCGTTGATAGGCGACCTAAACTGCAAAAGACGTTTGACTATTTATACTCTCAATTCTCAATTGAGATTTAGATTCTACGTTTATGCAATATGGCATCCAGTTCCCATGGAAATATGTTCAAGCTGTTTTTTGACAAAAACCTCGATAAAAATTTGGTAGGATAAATTGTCAATTTTAGCAATATTCATGCACAACAAAAAATCCGCTCCTGTAAATTTATTGCAGACAAGATGTACTGCTCCATAGGGGTGTAACTTGTTGGTGGATATACAACTGATCCAAGGCAACTTTTATAAGCCGCTATTTCGAAAGATAGATTTCAATTAATACTGAACTTGAAAAAACTACAAGTACTCTGAACTGCGCCCTCTTTTCAACAGCTTGAATGAAAAGTTTTTGATCTTGCCCCAGTTGAAGAGAATCACAGCTTTGATAAGGCTATGATACCGTATTTTGCCGTAAGCAATTTATTAGAGGCAAACCAATAAGATGGGGGAACACATTTTAAGTGGATAGATTGTTTATTTTGATCCCTAGACAACAATTCCAAACATAAATACTGGGGTTTGGGAGCGTCAGTTGTTCTCCAATATGCAGATGATTTACAAAATATGCCTCACTGGCCCTTTCACCTCTTTTTTGACTATTTTCTCACATCTCTGTCACTTCTGGAGAAGCTGGAATTTCGCTAAGCATTTTGTGAGATATAATATAGAAAAGTTTTCAAATCTTCATTTATTTCTCTAATAGTTGGTAGCCCTTTATCCTACCGTCCTTTCAGAAGAACCGCTGTTTTTTTTTCCAAAACTGGAGATCGAAAAATTTTTTTATGATTTTCCCTCGACTTATTGAACCTTTTAATGATCGATTCCAAGAAAATAATATACAAATCGGAAAAAAACAGTTTTAGGGTCAAATTGGTTAGTACTTTTACCTGAATTATCTCAATAACTAAATCTTGACAATACGAACAGTAACGGAGAGCAATAGTTTTCCTTAGTAACACATACATTAGTTTATAACCTACATATCATAATATCGGCATATTCTCCATTCATCGATTTGATAAACTGAATCATTCCATAATGGGAAAAAATAAATATATTGAAAATACTAAAGTTGAATTTTCGACTAAATCTGGTCGAAACATATACAAACTATACGTTGTATTCAATATGGAAGAAGCTCCCAAAATCTGTGATCACTGAACCAGGACCATATTTTGAACAAAATAATAATGGTTCTACAAAAACCAAACATCATAAAGAGAAATCAATATCTTCACGATAAATCTAATCAGAATAAGTCTCTATGAAAAAGTATTTTTAGTTTTACTGTATCTCTAATGATAATAACTGAAAATTGAATGGTTTAAACAGTTCTCCAAGGCTGTTGGAATGACCTTTTGAATGCGACATGCAACATTTTACCCATTTATTGATCACCAACGATGACAAGAATTATCCACTGAACGTCAATCATGAATGTCGATCACAAAACAGTTCAAAATTTTGGTTCATGTTCAAAATACCTCGTAACTTCTCAATTTCATATTTCTAATTGTTAGAAAATTCACCATCAGCGTTTGAAATTTTCACCTTACCCATGAATATGGCTCCTCCAAGAATCGTGAAAGTTGTGTAAGCTGTTGCATTGATATCAGGATGACGATTTTGGTATAGTTTGATCATGCTAAGTACTGCCATCACATACATGAAGCTAGTGTCTGGAAATGAGATTAATAAGGAAGAGACCAACAACTTTGAACCTATCGAGGAATATTGACACCTTTGTACCTGATTTTGTTTTACTGGATATAACAATTGACAGGCAATAGAGGCGAGTGGACTTTTTTCATTTCTTAAATGAAATCATCACTCAGATACCTTTCAATTTCACATTTTTAAGAATTTTTCGGTCGATTTTCAGGTGCCTTAATCATCAATAATGCCACAGTAATTTTCAAACGGCTAGAAATATCCAAAAACTGGCGCCACGATTTCGTAAGTAGAGGCAGACCATAGCACCAATAAAAATGCAATTGTCTCGAAATGTTCCCCTATGATTTGTGGCTTATTGCTTATAATAAATTTGTATAAAAAATGATTATATTAATTCACACTAGAGGAAATTTGAATCGGTGAACGTGACAACCCCGCGCACGACTTGTGGGCGTGGTCTTATCAGTTCTTAGCACTCAGCACAATGTTGGCAAGTATCCAAAATTCACATGATATTTTGTTATGAAAAATGAGAATCATTTGGACATTCTGGTTGCTCGAAAAACTCAAGAACGAGATATGATGACATGAGTTTCTCCTATTATGTTCAATTCAACGACAAGACTCAAACATCTTGGTATTGTATTGGTATTGGTAGGTTGGATGGTGACAGATGCGCTGCGACCTAATTAGATCTATTGTGCTCCATCTGCTTCTGCTAGATCAAGTTTCTTGTTCATAGCAGCCCCTCGAGATTCAATTCCTTCAGGAATTTGAGGATTTTGAGGGGGCCTAGCTGTGGTATTTCTTCCACAGTCAGCTGGTGTGTTCCCAGTATGTTCAATCTTTTGTGATGTACAGCGTCACACTCCATCAGTATGTGATGGTGTGTTTCTGGTTCTTCCTCACAGAATCTGCAGGTGCCTTCCTTCTGTAAGCCTAGCTTCCTTAGGTGTTCGTTGAGTCTGCAATGCCCCGTTAGAAATCCCGTTATTGCTTTGAGACTTCCTTTGCTGAGGTTTATCAGTGTCTTAGATCTTTCTCAGTTGAAATTTCCAAGGAGATTTTTAGCCTGCCGTAGTCCTGGTAGTCTCCTCCATTGTCTGGCTCTCCAGGCTCCTTCCGCCTTCTCAAGTTCTCCTTGGAAATATTAATTTCCAAGGCCGCAGAATGGCTCTGGTCCGATCAGTGGCATCTTTCTGATAACTTGATTATAATTGGTGACTTGACAACCTTACTTCATGGGTGGAAATGGAAGATTATCTGACCGATAACGAAACAGCATGAAAACTTACGTCACTATTTATTTGACGTATCGCCAAATGACGGTCATGACGTTACATTCGAAATGAGCACTGGAAATCAACGATTCTGAACAACGCATAAAATGATTCACATCAAAAAAGCGTGAGAAGTGTTGCAAAAATTGATTCAGGTTCCTAAGGTAATTGAATGCCAATAATTCATCCTCAGTCAACTCGCCCAGTTAGATAGAAAATAGTCTTTAGGCATAGGTATAGTAAAACTTAATTTGCATTCAAAACGTATCTTTGAGGTATGCCATTTGTTAATTATTTATATTTCACCTTATAGATGCGCTGTATATAGTTACAGGTGTCAGGTTTTGTTTTTAGAAAAATAATTATGATTGATGTTGTCAAATAAATAAAAAGTTTGAACAGTCATTTTTGTCTTTGGAATCACAAAAGATTCATATATACCGTTGAATAGAATCCTTTAGATAGTTCCTGGATATATTCAACAGTTGGTCCTTCGAGCTATTAAAAAAAATGGAAAATACGTTTCGAAGAAGTTCACGTACAAATCGCGGAATTCCTCCGAGGAGATTTGGTGTTAGCAGCTTGGATGGACAACTCTTAGTAAGAGGAAACGGAAGAGAAGTTCTCCGAGAAAATTTTGAGGATGGCGGTGGAGATGGTGCCCCAATTGAAAATAGACCATCGACATCCATGAATATTCGTGCGGCTCAGAGACTCTCTAATCAAGGTGAAGAAATACCATCCAGCTCTAGACAACACACTAATATAGAACGAACCGAAATTGGTAGAAATGAACTTCTGAAATTGGAGATAGAAAAGCAGAGAAGGCAGATAGAAATGGAAATGATGATTAAGGAAAAAGAAATAGAAATGGATATACTGATAAAGAAGAAAGAACTGGAGCTTCAGATGCTGATAAAAAAACAAGAATTAATTGAAATGGAAAGAACATTCAGTATCAAATCTGTTGGATCAAAGAGAGGATCACAGAAATCAGAAAGTCTTTATCTCATTGCAGATGAAGAACTAGACAAGAAGTCAATTGTAGAAAATTGGGTTGATGATACTAAAAGACAAGCTGTCTGCGGATATTCGATTATTCCAGAAAACGAAAATGTTTCGGATTCCCCTGCAAACAAAGAAAATGTAACCGAAACTTTAGTATCTTGCATGAAAAACCTCAATATTAATTTGGAAAAATTAGCTGATAAAAAGAGTACTCAACTTCAACATTTTCATGGTGCTATTCATGAATTTCCTTTCTGGTTAGCTGAATTCAATCGGACAACTCGAGAAAAACATTTATCTCAAGCAGACAATTTGAATCGTCTTCAATTTTGCCTCAAAGGGAAAGCCAGAGATGTGGTGAAAGATCTTTTTTGTAGTGCTGATAATGTTGATGCCATCATAGATACTTTGAAAATGTACTTCGGCAAGAGTGATTGGATAATAATAGATCTTATGGAAAAAGCCAGACGTTGTCCAAATCCTAAAGATGATAATGTGGAAACTTACATGCAGTTTTCGATAACTGTATCCAATATGGTTGTTTCGATGATAAACACGGGAAGCATCAAATATCTAGACAATCCAGATTTACTGATGAAGCTAGAAGACAAACTACCAAGGAATTCAAGAAGAGCATGGGCACAAATCAAAGTTCACAAAGAGCTGGAGAAGAAAGAAATTAGTTTGAAAGATTTTTCAGACTGGCTGAAATCTGAAGTCAACCTTTTGATGTCGGTGTCAACGTCATTTCAAACCAACACATGTCAATACAAATCATTTGATAAAAAGGAAAAGGTACTGAGTGTTGTTCAGAAAACGCACGAAAAGTGTAAATTATGTCCGATGGAGATTCATAAGTTGTATAATTGTAAGAGTTTTCTTGAAAAATCTATTAATGACCGAAGAGAGTTCGTTCGGGAAAACAAATTATGTTATAAATGTTTGAATACTGGCCATGTTGCGAGCAAATGTTTTTCAAAAACTACCTGCAATATCGATCAGTGCAAGGGCAAACATAATCGACTATTGCACCTCAAGAGAGACGATCAGTCGAGTACAAGAGCCAATGATGCCGATGATAGTCCAGTTTTAACAGTTCATGAAATGGAAGTTGCTGGTGAAAACTCTCGAGAATTTTTAGGGTGTGTTTCTGAAAAAACGTCCAGTATTTTGAAAGTGATAAAAGTTACGATTTTTGGCGAAGAGGACTCTATTGAAACATATGCGTTGCTGGATGAAGGATCGACAGTGACATTAATCGATGGAAGCATTGCTGATAAAATCAAACTAGATGGACCTGTTACTCCAATTTGCCTGCAATGGACGAATCAGATCACACACAATGATGAAAGTTCGAGAATTGTCAATTTTCATATTGCTGGCATGAATGAGAAGAATACTTATATGATCAAGAATGCTAGAGTTATTAAAAATTTAATGTTGCCTCGCCAGAAAATCGATCCAAAGTACTTATGCGATAAATATAAGTACTTGGATAGTCAAATCTTAGAATCGGTGAAGAATGTTCGTCCAAAGATATTGATAGGACAAGACAACATTTTTGTCATGATTTCGCATGAAACTATACATCCCAGATTTGATCAACCAGTATTCTCTAGAACCAAATTAGGATGGGTGGTTCATGGTCCATATGACATCGAAAATGGAAATGAAACCAGAACATACCATGTGAATATGTGTTACCACGATGAGGAATATATGACCAAAATGATAGAAGAAAATTTTCGAATTGAAAATATAGTATCTTCAACAGCTGCCAAATTATCGAGAGAAGATAAGAGGGCGGAAGAAATCTTTCAAAAGACAATCAAACGTCGGGGTGAAAGATTTGAAATAGGTCTACCATGGAAAGATGAAAACACTATTCTTCCTGAAAGCAAAATGACAGCTTACAGAAGACTAAAGTGCATGGAGAAGAAAATGGACGGAGATAGTGATTTTGCAGAACAATATTGCAATAAAATCAAAGAATATGAACGAAAAGGATATTGTGAGAAGTTATCGAAGATCGAATATGAAGTAGAAACTGGTCGAACATGGTATCTTCCACACTTTGGTGTCAAAAATATCAACAAGCCCGGGAAATTTCGATTCGTATTCGATGCTGCTGCCAAAAGCCATGGAGTTAGTCTGAACGACTTCCTGCTTAAAGGTCCAGACTACTATCCACTCCTGACATCCATTCTTTTGCGCTTCAGAGAACGAACATATGCATTTTGTGGTGATATCAGGGAAATGTTCCACCAAGTTTTAATTCGAAATGAAGATCGTAGCTGTCAGAGGTTTTTATTCCGTGGTATGGACAGGAATCGTGATCCAGATATATATCAGATGCGTGTCATGATTTTTGGTGCAGTTTGCTCTCCTTCCATTGCTCAGTACCTATGTCAAGAATCATAATGCTAACGAATTTTCAGAAGAATTTCCTGATATAATGCGAATCATGTTAGATCAGCATTATGTAGATGACTATTTAGATTCTAAAGACAACTTACCAGAAGTTATCGAGACCATCAAGAGTGTAATTGAGGTGCATCGTCGTGGAAATTTTCAAATGGTAAACTGGTTATCTAATTCAGCTGAAGCACTTAAAACAATTCCTCCTGATTATCTTGCTAAAAATTGTATTCTAAATTTTGACTCTAATCATTTTGAGAGAATTTTGGGATTGTACTGGAATACTGAAACAGATATATTGACATTTCGAAACACATTCAGGAAAATAAACACAGAATTAGTAAATGGCTCTAAATTACCCACAAAGAGAGAAATTCTGAAAATAGTCATGACTATCTTTGATCCTATCGGATTCTTATCTCCTCTGGTAATCAAAGGAAGGCTGATCTTCCAAGAATGTTGGGCCAGAAAAATGGATTGGGATGAAGTGGTACCCGAATATATCTACAGAAAATGGCAAAACTGGTGCTGTCTTCTAGGATATTTGGACAATTTGAAAATTCCGAGACATTATTTCGAGTACACTCCGATAGAGGTTGAGCTACACGTATTTTGTGACGCAAGTAATAAAGCGTATGCAGCAGTTGCCTACTATCTAGCCAATTTTGAAGGTAAATTCAAAATTTCTATGATTTCATCGAAAAGCAAGCTTGGACCTCTGAATAAAAATACAACAATACCCCGTATGGAACTGCAAGCAGCTGTTTTAGCAGCCAGGCTCGGAAAACAAATCAGCGATGAGAGTACTTACAAAATCACGAGAAGAGTTTGGTGGTCTGACTCAGAAATTGTACTTCAGTGGATACGGTCAGAATCAATTAAACTAAAGCCCTACGAATCGTATAGAGTTGATGAAATTTCACAGTTAACTGATGTGATTGATTGGAAGTGGATTCCATCAGAGCTCAATCCTGCTGATTTAGCTACAAAGGAAAGTAATGACGTAGATTTTGCAATCAGCTCGTTCTGGTTTCAAGGACCCCAATTCCTGAAAGTAGGTGAAGCTGATTGGCCGAAAGAAAACAAACCCAAAAATTGTATCACCAATGAAGAATATGTTAATATTATCATCGAAATAGATAGTTTCTTGCCAGATATCAACAGATTTTCCAAATGGTTTCGACTGGTAAGGACAATAGCATGGATTTTCCGGTTCCTGAAGAATATCCAGACGAGGACTAGAAATCAAGATGAATTGAATCCTGAAGAAATAAAGTTTGCCGAAAATGTATGGTGGAAAAAAGTTCAGAGAGAGAAGTTCAGAGAAGACATCATTGATTTAGAGAAGGGACAAAAATTGAACAAGAAATCTAATATTTTTGAACTGTCTCCATTTCTAGATGAAAATGGTATCTTGCGAATGGATAGCAGAATCAAATATGCAGATGTTTGCTTCGACACAAAATTCCCAATCATTCTACCGTCTTCCAAACATGACAAATCTGTGGAATTGTTAATTATTCATTTTCATGAAATGGTAAATCACGTAGGTCAAGAAACAGTACTGAATAATTTGAGACAGAAGTATTGGATATTGAAAAGTAGACAAAGTGTGAAAACTTCTTTGAGAAATTGTCAAATATGCCGAATTAGAAAATCCCGACCAATACAACCAGAAATGGCACCTCTTCCGCAATGCCGTTTGAAGCCTTTTACAAGACCGTTCACATACTGTGGTGTCGACTACTTCGGTCCATTATTGATCAAGGTTAGGAGAAGTCGAGAAAAACGATATGGTGTACTGTTCACTTGTTTCAATACTCGTGCAGTACACATAGAAATTGCTAAAACTCTGAATACGGATTCAGCTTTGATGGCAATACAGAGATTCATCAGTAGAAGAGGTCAACCGCTAGAACTTCATTCTGACAATGGTACTAACTTCGTTGGTGCAGAAAATGAGATGAAGAATAGTATCAAGGAAATGAATCAGACTAATATGGTAGCCGGATTATCAAAATTCAAAATAAAATGGGTGTTTAATGCACCATTGGCTCCAAATAGAGGAGGTGTTTGGGAGAGGTTAATTCGCACAGTAAAAAATGTATTATACAATACTTTGAAAGAACAATATCCTTCAGAAGAACTGCTGATGACATTGTTATTAGAGGCTGAGAGAACAGTCAATACCCGACCAATAAGTCACGTTCCTAGTGATGCAAATAGTGGCGAAATAGGAGCATTAACCCCTATGCATTTTCTCATAGGAAGTGCAAACACTGAAAACATACCTGGAGTTTTCAAAGCTGGTGACATTTACGGAAGAAAACAATGGCGTGTCTCCCAATGCCTAGCAGATCGATTCTGGCAGAGGTGGATTAAAGAATACTTACCAAATCTACAGAAGAGGACTAAATGGTTTGATAAAAGTTTGAATATAACCATTGGAAGTATAATCGCCATTCCAGATGAATCTAACAGAAACCATTGGAGACTTGGAAGAGTCACAAAATTGTTTCCGGGTTCTGATGGACAAGTTCGAACGGTGGAAGTAAATACCAAAAATGGGAACTTCGTTCGCTCAGTCAACAAATTACTTCTCTTGGAGGCTGGAGAATGTTAATTATTTATATTTCACCTTATAGATGCGCTGTATATAGTTACAGGTGTCAGGTTTTGTTTTTAGAAAAATAATTATGATTGATGTTGTCAAATAAATAAAAAGTTTGAACAGTCATTTTTGTCTTTGGAATCACAAAAGATTCATTTATACCGTTGAATAGAATCCTTTAGATAGTTCCTGGATATATTCAACACCATTAATTTTGGGTGGTGCGTCAATACATTTTGCTGATCAGTATATATTTTTTTGAAGTACAAATTTTCTTACCGAATTGGTAGTTCGATTGACTTGGGCAAATGTGATAGCAAGAAGACAATAATCCTTCAATGATTAGAGCTACACCCATCGCATGAAATAGTCCATAATGCACAGGAATACCTTTCTCCTAAAAATTTGAATCTTCATTAGGTATACACAGGGGTGGATCCAGACGATGTTTGAGGGGGGGGCATAGAAAGTCATGGCTCAATAAGGTTAGCGCGGAAGAGAAATTATATGAGACAAATGCTTTTTCATTAAAAATACTGATCATAGTAAACATCGAAATTATTAGTGTAAAAAAAATTTCCAACAATGTATGTAGAATTCTGTAATAAATAATATTGGATAAAAGAAGTGAATGAAAAAATATTTCTGTTGAAAAACTTGGATACAAAAGTGAATGAAAATATTCCTCTTCAAAAATAAAACAAATGAAACAGACAAAAATAAAAATATATAAAATAAAGAAAACAAATTCCAGTCTTCCATTCTTCTGCCTAGCTTATCTTTGGAGATATCATCAACATTCAGACTGCTGCAGATGCCCCTGTGAATATGCATTAATGCCAATCTATTTAACCAGTCTTGGACCATTCTGGATCTCATCTAATTTTTCAGCCTTCTGAGCGTTGAAAAACTTCTTTCAGAAGATGCAACACTTACAGGTAGGCAACAAAATAGTTCCAGAAGGATGTTTATGTTAGGAAACAAATGTTTGTTACATTCCTTCAGGGCAGTTATACCATTGTTTGGTATATTTTGCTTAGTATCCCTCATTTTCTTCCATATATACATTTCAGAAACGATCTTCTGGAAGGACATTTCATTATTCTCCCCAAAACTGTTCAAGTATGTTTCCCATACCTCATAAATTTCCTCATCTGTTTTGTTTTTAGTTATTGAGATGGCACACAAAGGTGAAGGTTGTATAGATTCAATTCATTTTGTGATATTCCTTCTTTCAGATCAATAATAATACTGGAATGAAAACAGTTATTCTGTAATGGTCATCCACTGAGGAAACCGTATTTGGCCTATGAACCATTCTCCATGTTATTCTCGGCATTGAAAATTCAACATTCAGTTCTTTCAATTTCTGTTTGGCTGCATTCGAAATACTTAGATAGTAGGTATTTAGAATATCATCCCTTTTATCTGGAAGCGTCTGAAGAGTGATACTAACAACATCGTTAGCTTGTTTTTTGTTTGGAGCAAATTACTAAGTGGCAGTGTTATCGAAAATATATTTGCCAAACAGCAGAGTGTAATTACAAATTCGCAATTCCTTAAAGCTATTGCGAAGTTTCTAACTATAAAGACATACACTTATTTTCTCATCTATTCAAAATACCTACATTTTTACATGCCCATGAGGTGCTCGATCAGCCCCTGGTAAGGCTTATGAATCTGTGCAGTGGTCCTACGGTCGAGCCCGCTTATGCATGTAAAAACATTGTGTTTTATAAAACGGCCTGAGCAAAATGATTGAAAACTGGCACTTTCCTGTGCTCCCATTTATGCGAAATTTCACGATGTTTCGATCTTACATGGAGATGAGAATTATGCCATTCGATACCTATTGAATAGTGAATCTCAAAACCCTTGCATTTCGTCAATCTGAGGCAAGAATAAAATTGATTCAGATTTAATGAGAAGTAAAAATTCGAAGTAATTTCCACGAATGTGAAAAAAATCAACAAGAATGGAAGGTGACTAAATGAAAAAACTACTTTCCTGGCTAACGCCACATGCTCCTGAAATCTCTGCATTGATTCGTATTTTAAACGAGTACTGATGCAAATGTTCCTTACCTTAATGCCGATTGTATTTTGATAATAGCCAGGTTAGCGCTCGATAGCTACAGACCCGTTTCGGGCTTTTGACCCTCATCAGTGTACTTGAATAAAAATTAAGCTACAGAGAGATGCCATTTTTATATGGAAATGTCTAGATAAACGTGTTGGTGAAAGTTTTTTAGCTCTATGATAACCAAAAATGCCTAGAAACCTGCCATTAGGGAATATGGCGGCTACTATTATGCCATATTGACATGCTAGAATGATTCGAGCAGTTGAGGTATGGTTTCTCAGGTAGGTTAGGTAGGTTAGGTAGGTTAGGTAGGTTAGGTAGGATAGGTAGGTTAGGTAGGTTAGGTAGGTTAGGTAGGTTAGGTAGGTTAGGTAGGTTAGGTAGGTTAGGTTAGGTTAGGTTAGGTTAGGTTAGGTTAGGTAGGTTAGGTAGGTTAGGTAGGTTAGGTAGGTTAGGTAGGTTAGGTAGGTTAGGTAGGTTAGGTAGGTTAGGTAGGTTAGGTAGGTTAGGTAGGTTAGGTAGGTTAGGTAGGTTAGGTAGGTTAGGTAGGTTAGGTAGGTTAGGTAGGTTAGGTAGGTTAGGTAGGTTAGGTAGGTTAGGTAGGTTAGGTAGGTTAGGTAGGTTAGGTAGGTTAGGTAGGTTAGGTAGGTTAGGTAGGTTAGGTAGGTTAGGTAGGTTAGGTAGGTTAGGTAGGTTAGGTAGGTTAGGTAGGTTAGGTAGGTTAGGTAGGTTAGGTAGGTTAGGTAGGTTAGGTAGGTTAGGTAGGTTAGGTAGGTTAGGTAGGTTAGGTAGGTTAGGTAGGTTAGGTAGGTTAGGTAGGTTAGGTAGGTTAGGTAGGTTAGGTAGGTTAGGTAGGTTAGGTAGGTTAGGTAGGTTAGGTAGGTTAGGTAGGTTAGGTAGGTTAGGTAGGTTAGGTAGGTTAGGTAGGTTAGGTAGGTTAGGTAGGTTAGGTAGGTTAGGTAGGTTAGGTAGGTTAGGTAGGTTAGGTAGGTTAGGTAGGTTAGGTAGGTTAGGTAGGTTAGGTAGGTTAGGTAGGTTAGGTAGGTTAGGTAGGTTAGGTAGGTTAGGTAGGTTAGGTAGGTTAGGTAGGTTAGGTAGGTTAGGTAGGTTAGGTAGGTTAGGTAGGTTAGGTAGGTTAGGTAGGTTAGGTAGGTTAGGTAGGTTAGGTAGGTTAGGTAGGTTAGGTAGGTTAGGTAGGTTAGGTAGGTTAGGTAGGTTAGGTAGGTTAGGTAGGTTAGGTAGGTTAGGTAGGTCAGGTAGGTCAGGTAGGTTAGGTAGGTTAGGTAGGTTAGGTAGGTTAGGTAGGTTAGGTAGGTTAGGTAGGTTAGGTAGGTTAGGTAGGTTAGGTAGGTTAGGTAGGTTAGGTAGGTTAGGTAGGTTAGGTAGGTTAGGTAGGTTAGGTAGGTCAGGTAGGTCAGGTAGGTCAGGTAGGTCAGGTAGGTCAGGTAGGTCAGGTAGGTCAGGTAGGTCAGGTAGGTCAGGTAGGTAGTTTGGAAAAGGAAGTCTCCTCCCTCATGCAGAATATTCTCCATCCTCACATTACGTCGAAATTAGGTGAATCGAGAGTTAGGTCAATCGAAAAATGGATGATTCGACAATTGGGTGAATCGAAAATTGGGTAAATCGCAAATTGGGCGAATCGAAAATACATACATATTATGTGTATAAAAAATTTTGAATATTTGATAATGATAAGTCCAGAATGATCCTTCATTAATATTTGGCAAAAACACATCGTTCGGGTATATTCGGAGATGGTGAGCGTATCGAAAAATGGGTGAATCGAAAATTGTGCCGAACGCAATCTACCCCAAATTATCATTGCTGCTCCTAAATAAGAAGTAAATAAGGTAAATGCAGCTACCAACCAGAGATTATACACTCCCCTACCAACTGAGTGATTCCATACTAATGATTAACTCGGTACCCATATGTCGAACTTACCTTTCTCAATTTCACCAGCCTGTGTCTGTCCAGCACAACAAAAATATATATGATTCCAAACATAACATAACCGATATTAGAGTAAATATGATTGAAATCACTGAACCCAAATGATGGATGTGCACATAAAAAATTGTAGTAGCACAAATCTTCATTGCCTGATTGATTCACAATCTGAAAAAATAGATAGGTAATATAGCAAGAAAGTATCCAGACTTGACGTCTCTACAAGGTGAGGCAAAAGTAATGATCCCATTTCCTAGAGCAATTACTCTTGCCTTCTTTTATAACTGAGTTACAGAGGACGTTATATTGATTTTGACAAAATCTTCATCTGATGGTCATTACTTTTGAACCACTTTGTATGGTCTGTTCATACTTGACAGAAATTTTCCACACTTGTATTATTCCGTCAAACGAACAAATCTATTGATAATTCACCTAATTTGACTCTGATGATGTTGAACTTTGAAGACTGTTATTTCTTTGTATCAAGATCAAATTTTGAATTACGAGTTCAATAAAAATGCCTCGAACCCTCGAAATGAAGCTGGATATTTAAAAAAATAAAAGAAAACCATCTGTCGTAAAAAGGAGGTTACTTCATTCAATTTCTCCCGCTCTTTCCAAATATATCAAGACAGATCTCCAAAATCTTGCCATACAGAAATAAAAGAAGTTTTCTGTTTTTCCTTAAGACGGGCCTGGATTCTGTTCTCGATTTATATCCAGTTTTGATGGGTAATATAAGTGGAATATATCTATCAAGTATGAGTAGATTATACAAAGTGGTTCAAAAGTTATGACCAGATGAAGATATTGCCAAAATCAAGATAACGTCCTGTATCTCAGTTATAAAAGAAGGTAGACACATCGATGGGGGGTGATTTGAAACTATCAAAATGTCCTCTATTCAATCTGAAACACCCTGTATATACATATGTGTATATATTTATGAAACAACAAGACTCCTATAATCAACGGTACCTGATGCATATATAGCGGGAAGGTAAAGAATTGGTACATTATTTATTCCGTTTTGAAAATGAACAAAATTTTATTGAAATCGGTCAGCTCTGAAATAAAATTATCTAAATGTACAACGGAAATTAATGAGCCTTAATAACCTCAGACAAACTACGCCATGGGTAATTGAGGTTTCCAACATATATCTCAAGTGATTGCTCATTGATTTTAATTCTGGATTTTGAAATTGATATGGACAATTCAATTACAAATTGTCGGTTCCCAATATGGAGTATTATACAGACTCAGAATGAATGGTGCATGCCATTCTGAATTCTATCTTTGAATAGGTATGGTTATCACGAATTTGAAAGTGTTTATTCTCCATTAAAGCGATATTATTATTTCCAATCTGCTGCTGAAAGTGTACCCATTGATATGGCGTTCTTACCCTTTGATAGGTGACGACTAGTTGCACAACTGGAATACTGTAGAATAAGGCAATGCTCAGAGTATGGGACAAGTAGTTGTACGATCTCTTTTTTATTCGTTTTGGATTCCTAGAAAATTGAGATACGGTGAGGTAGTCAGATTTTAGTAAACCTGTGATTTGTTCTTCGGATAGTACTTCGAAATAGTCGGTAACAACCACATCTGGAAACGAAGCAAGAAATTCGATTATTGGAAAACAGGTTTTCTCTCATGTCTACAATATTCAGCTATCACTTTGATATTATGCAGAGTGATCTTCATTAATATACATAAAAGACACCCCTCAGAATTCTTGAATGGTATGACCTATGACATGTCATGTCTCGCAAAGTAGATTCCATTTATGATCTCTGAGGGCTGGTTGAAATTGAGTACCACGAGTGAAGCTTGCATTTGTAAAAAAATTATAATCCGTTACACCGTATTTTAATGTAGATATTGTGCCTATTTTCCGAAAATGAAGTTTTATCGAACCGTTCCACAGGTAATTCTAATCCTTCAGGTTGGCAAAGTAGGATATACAGGGTGTTCCAAAATTACCCTGCCAAACTTTTCCAATGGCTTCTACGATCAAAAATAGAAAGAAAAGTTTCAATGAACATGATACGAGAAATGTCTCCTAAGGAAGCTGTGGCTCCCTCAAAGGGGGCACCTGAAGATGATATTTCTTGAGTATTTCCGAAACTTCATGTGATGAAAAGATTCAATTTGATACAAGAACTGAGCTTTCCACGCCCAATGCAGCAAATCATTTCAACATTTCACTCAGGAGTGTATAATACAGAGTAGGACTACATTAAATATTGATCAGAATTTTTTGTAGGCATATTTTTCGATAATTTGATCTAGTATTATAAAAATCCACACTCCTTTATACAAAAAAGGTACTCTTGTTTCGTAACGATCAGATTTATTATTATCGAATAAAAGCGATTTGAACATATTGTTACATCTCGAGTTGCAATCAATCGTAGTGGATATGAAAAAAAAATGCACACCAATTGAAGTGGTTCTTTATCATCATTTTCCTATTCCACGAGTTTCTATGAAATTGTTTGGTGAAAATAAAGGGCTTGATTTTTTGTATAGCCTCTATTATTTGATTAGCAACGTTATGCAAAAGATGAGTGTAACAATATCATTAAATCGTTTTCACTCGAAAATGATACATCTGATCGATGGGGAACATGAACACCTTTTTTTGTGAAATGGTATGGATTTTTCGAATCCGAGATCAAATTGTCGAAAAATATGCATACAAGACAGTTTGAGCAATATTTAATGTTGTTCCACCCTGAATTATACACTCCTTGATGAAACTCTGGAATGCATTTATGTTCGCCGCATTGGGGATAGAAAGTACAGTGCTGTCACCAAATTGCATCATTTTATCACGTGGCGTTTCGGAAGTATTCAAGAAATATCATCTTCAGGAGCCTCCTTCCAGGGGGCCGTAGATTCCTTGGGAGACATTTCTCGACTCATGTCCATTGGAACTTTTCTTCCAATTTTTGGCAGGCTTATTTCGGGATACCCTGTGTATATAAGTTTAGGTAGGTCAAGGTTAGTTTTTGCATTGTACCGGTATTTCACCTGATGAAGCTACTGTGTTAGCGAAACATGTCGTGTGATTAAGAATTTTGTGGAAATCTCATCGTTTGTGGAGTTTTTACATTTGATATGGATTTCCATCAAGTAACGCCCGAGTCGATTGAAAAACAAGAAGCTAGGATTCCTAGAGGAAGACTCCAATGGAGACATCAATTTGAAAACTTCCTGGCATACTACTCTGGCGGTCCCTAATAACACAATTACATCTGTAAGACATCGTAGAAACATCCATATGGGATGATAGGAACATCTCTGGAAAATCCCTATTTTCCTTGGGACATTCTTGGGATGTTGCTGGCAACACCCGTGTCAGCATTTGCGATGTCTTATAAACATCCCATCAGAATGTTTGTGAGATGATACGGGATGTACCAGAGACATTCAGGGTACTTGATATGGAACATCTTAAAGAGACTGTTAGAATTTTTTGGGTTGATGACAGTAATGGATGACACGATATGCATTATTTTCAATCTGATATCCTGAAAATGGCCTATTTCCAGATATAAAGTAACAATCCGAGTCCGAATATATAAGGTCGGTGCGGTCCAATAACTAATGGAAGATGAAAACAGTTGTTTGAGGCTCATATTTGTTGACGCTGGGCCGACGGCTGTTAGTAACTCTTAGCAACGTAGTTGCTGGCATAACAAATAAATTCAGCAATAAATATGCTGAAGAGATATATTACATATTTATTACATAGTTCATGAAGTTAAGCAGGTACTTACGTAATCTTATTGAGGCATATTTAGTATAATTATTTCAATTTGTTATCGATGAGATTAACCGGCGTTGGTATAGGTATAAGTATATGAGTACGAATACAGTTTTGATTTTCATTTTTTACCAACTTTTCAATGTTTCAAATGTCACAATTGTTTGAACTGTTCAATCATGTCAATCATCATTAGCAGATATGGAACCATGGTATTGTTCATAAAAAAAGATCGAATGGGATGTTTCTAGAACATCCAATGAAACCATCTGATGGATGTCCCAAGAGAAACATCTCTGGGATATCGTACCTAAGTCTGAAACATTGGGACATTTGTAGGAACTTAGCGGGATGTACCAGCAAGATCCCGTGTTGTTAGGGGTGTAGAATAACTGTTATAGTAGGTCCTTTCTTTTGCATGAAAAGTGCAGAACTTTCCTATACTTCCTGTAATATACACTATATTTGAGTATTTATTTGAAAAATTGAGTTCATCTTCATACACAGGGTGCCCCAGAATAACGCTCGTATACTCCAGGCAATAATTTTACAGATGGAAATGAGAAAAATTGTTTTTATCAACATGTGTCCAGAAATGCTTCCTATATAGGAGCGCTACAGCCCTCTGAAAATATAGTTCCTCAATTGCTTTCTTCAATTATCTTTGTTACCATTGATCTTGAAATTTGATACTCAGTTTTTATCTCATTTGTATTGTACTAGGATATGATTCTTCAAACACGTTTACCTAAATACTATAGCTGACCCGGCAAACGTTGTTTTGCCATAAACATTATTACTAGAAAATATTTCTTGAATTGAATATTTATCAACACACTCCTATTACTCCATTTTTTCTTCTTTTTGGCGTGTTCCTTTAGTTTTTCAAACTAATCTATTTATTTTCGTCTTCTTATTAGTCCGGCAATCTATCTCTTAATTTTCTTAAACTACTCTTCATTTAATTCCTACTCACTTCTTTTTAGTTTGGCTATCTACAAAAGCGTGTTTCATTAGTTTTTCAAACTACTATTTATTTTCTACTTCTTTCTAGTTCGACAATCAATCTCTTTAGTTTTTTCTATACTATCTATTTTCAACATCTATTTTGTTTGACCTCGAGTTTGATTATCTATAGAAGCGTTTTTCATTATAGTTCTTCAAACTACTATTCATTACAAAGCCTGTTCGCCATATTGGATCCGCCATATTGAATTTTCCACTTTTGAATAACACATCATAATCTCCGACCCCGAAATCCTCCAGATACAAGTTTTGAATAGAAACGGATCATAATTACAAAACTCGTCCGCCATATATTGGATCTGCTATTTTATTCTCCTAATTTTGCCCCGAAAACCAATTTTGAATATAATGAGATTATAATTACAAAACTCGTAAGCCATATTGGACCCGCCATATTGAATTCAAAAATTTTGACGAAAGAATTCTAATTCCCGACCCCAAAAACCCCCAGAAACAAATTTTGAATGGAATCGAATCATAATTACAGAAATCGTCCGCCATATTTGATCCGCCGTCTTGAATTTCTAAATTTTGACGAAGGAATCATAATCTCCGACCACAAAAACCCCCAGATACCGATTTTGAATGAAATCGGATTACAAATCTCGTCCGCCACATTGGATCTGCCATCTTGAATATCCAAAATAGTTTACGACCGATTCTCAGACCTACCGAATATGCACAAAAATTTTCATAATAATTGACCAAGCTGTTTCGGAGTTCGGAGGAGTTTGGCAACAAACATCGTGACAGTGACAAGACAACTTTATATATTAGGTTTTCGAGAATAGTGTAAATGAGTTTCCATTTTGATGTCCGAACAAATTTACACTGATTTTGGGCACGATACTCAGGTAGATTTGTTTCATTAGATTTGAAGGAGATAATAACTCGATCGAAAATCCACGCTTATAAGATCAAATGTAAAAACTTCACAAACGATAACTAGCTCCTGTTTTGTTGTTGAGATGACTGATGAGTTTGGGTTTCTTCATGTATGACAGGCATTATTATTTTCATTATTATTATAATTGTCTATGCTCACCATTGTAGGTATTTTTTGAAATGGTCCCATACCGATGAAAGACCAGAGCTATTATCACAAGTACCACACCGGCTGCAGTCAATATAACGAATGTTCCGACAACTGCGAGAACATAATCCCTGCCACTGATGTTGTTCCTAATTTTGAAATTGACTTTGCTGGTGATATTCACAGTGGAAATCGATACTGTTCTCATCATTCTGGGAATATAGGAGCTAGATTGACTACATTCGTAGTTGTCAGGTTTAGCTACGAAGACCAAGAAAAATCCATTGGGGAATTGCCTTCTCTAAAAGTGAATAAAACTTATCGGTACTACATATTTTACATTTCACCATGTTTAGGTATCTTATTATGGTCTACTTGGAAGATATTTTGAAATAGGCATATATATCAAATATAAACATAGGAAAAATCTACTTCTGGTGAAAATTTGTGAACATTTTCAGAAAAGGAAATGAGAATAAATTCGTTTATGAATCTAATTCGTATTTCATAACTTACAGCAAGAGTTATGGCTCCATTTAGATTGATCGTCTGGTGAATACCTTCGTATTTTATGTCCTTATTCATGTCAAATACTGGACACTGAAAAATAACGTAAAATTGAAATCAGCTCAACTCAAAGGGTTTAATGAGTAATTCCTATCAGAACTAAAACAAAGAGTAAAGACTTTGCATAAATGTAAAATCACTAAGTCACACAAAATATAGAAAGTAACACATCATTCTTGGGTTATTTTATGAATGAAAACTTGGAGTGCGATAGACACATCAATTATGTTGAAGCAAAAACAAAAACAAAACATTCGTTTACTTTGTAAAGGCCTCAATGAAGAATCCCTGAAAATTATCTATCATGCAAATTTTGAATCCACTGCAAAATTTGGTATAATATTCTGGGGATCAAAAAAACTTAGCAAATATTCCATATCCATATTCCATATTCAGAAGTTATATGATCATTGTACAATATAAAATATGCGAAACGTGATCAAATAAGATAATGACCTTCATATTTGCTTTATATATTTATACATGTGTCATACATCTGTATAATGATAAAATGAATTCTACACAAATGAGTAATAATATCGGATAACCCCTTCGGAACAGTATAATTTCACTTTCCAAAAACATACAAGGTGTCAACGAATCAATTAGACAAGCCATAACTTCTAGAGTCAGAATTACTTGACAGTGACTTTTTTACATTTTGATTTTGGTCAAAGTAGGTTGTTTGTTAGGTTGCCACGGGGTATGATACATTGCTAGCAATGCTCTGACAATTTTCCCTGCAGATAAAGAAAACTTTTTTGAAGAAAAAAAAACGTATAGAGAATGGAACAAACCGATGAAAATTACGTTCCTGAGGATAGCCTTACGGAAGCGGAAGAAGCAGCGATGCAGATTTTGCCAAAAAAGTTCCGAGATACTTACGACAAGGACAAAATGTTTGAGTCTTGGATGAATTCACGGAAGATGAAAGGTATGGATGAATACGTTCTATTGACTTATTTTTTACATTTGCAAAAAAAAATTAGCCTCATCGTCGTTATGGACCAAATACTTGATGCTTTGCTTGACTATTCACCTTTATAAATGAACCGACAGTTCAAAATATGGTAAACTAACGAGCTTTTTGGAATGAAATCACAGGGATACAAACCAAAGAAGTCCAATACATTAGTACGACCTCAAATAGAGAAGTTTTTGAACGAAGCTCCCGATGACGAGTACCTACTTGTTGATGAAAGTGGCTTCGATAATGGGGATTAGCGGTGCTTGTAGATGCGATGAATTGGTCAATTTGAAAATAGAAAATATTCAAGACGAAGGGAAATATTTTCACGTAGTTTTGCCAGACACTAAAACCAAGAAATCGAGCAGTTCCACTATACTTGAAGAAGGATTCCCAATCAACCCGATCAATTTGTGTAAAAAATACATGTCTTTGAGACCAAAGAATACTAATTCTATAGCCGGTTTTCTGTTTTTCACGAAAATGGGAGGTGTACCAGCCAGTGTGTGGAAATGAATATGTTTTCGAAGATACCTTCAAGAATTGCAAAGTTGGAGGAACCAGCGCTCTACACCGGTCACTGCCTGAGAAGGTCTTTGGCGACTCTTTTGGCCAATGCAGGGGCTAACATGACTACTTTGAAACGTCACGGAGGATGGAAGTCCTCGACGGCAGGGGCTAACACGACTACTTTGAAACGTCACGGAGGATGGAAGTCCTCGACGGTAGCAGAAGGATACCTAGAAGAATCGGTGCATAACAAAATACAAATTGCGGAAAAAATACAAGGTTCTAATATGTCGGCGTCTTCCAGCACTATCAGCAGCTGTACCGATATGGGAGCATCTGGTTCCAATGAACCAACGAATTTCACAATTACTTCAAATTCGAATAAACCGTTAGCGTTTTCCTTCAATCTTAATATCAATGTGAATCCTGCTTGTAATAGTAATAAATACATAGAATACTACTTTAAACATGAACGTGAGTTATAATCCATGACTCACTTGTGAGTTATGGATTATAACACACTAGTGTTTTATTTGATAGTTTACTCGTCTCAAATGACATTAATAATGACAGTCATAACTGTCATGTGTATATTATCATTATTATTATCATTGCTGTATGGATATAACTCACATGGCAGTCTTGAACTGACACTGTCAGACAAATGTCATCTTTGGAGTCGACCTCGATGACGATCGTGTCCGAGGTGTTTTCATCGAATTTGAAGAAGACGTATTGTGGCTCACTGGGAGACACAAGCAGTGAATAACTCCTATCAAGCTCAACGTAAAAGTCTTTTTGCTCCTCTAGTTCGACGCTAACGTAGACGTCTCGCGCCGACGACGTCGACAGGGCAATTATGAACCTTTGGGCGATTTGGAGAGGTTTGATGGAGAAGTCTGAAATTCGATATAATACAAACCCAATTGCTTCAGTGAGTCAAGACTAAGAAATAAAATTGGCCTGGTAGTTTCTACCAAAATTTATACAAGCCTTGGCTCTGGTGGAGCAGTTTATATTGAGGACTTGAGACTTGAACCTTTGGCCAATCTTGGGTGAATAATCACGAACTGTATTGAATCTTCAGAAAATGAAGACCGTTTCATTTAATGAGCAAACATTCTATAGTTTTTGACAATTTATGAGAAAATAATTCATTTTAGAAATTCGACCGACACATTTCACAGTTTTTCGTTTAAATATCTTCAAAAATATCCATTTCAGCACTGTTGATAAGTTATGCGTTTTTCTAATGGAACGGAAAAGATACTTCGAAAAATTGTAAATCATCAAATTTTCATCATTGGAGTAGAAAATATAAGTGAAACAGTTACCTTATCCCATGTGGCACGTCCCTGGATAAAATGAATGCAGTTACTTACTGAATCGTCAAAATTTGAGGCAAATCAGAAACGAACGAGGAAGAAATGTTGACAACATAAATATGGATTTGACAACAATTCTCGAATGGGTATCCAATAACTTGGTAGATTTCAATGCAAACAAAACACAAGCATGCCTTTTCTCTGGAAAAGCCGATCTCACTGTGCCCAACATAAGCATCACAGGAGCATTATGACAGGAGTAATTATACCTTTGAAGACATCCATTTCGATGCTTGGTATTACTATCAGCAATAACCTTCCTTGGGAAAATCACGTGAGATCAATTGCTATATAAAAGTGCATCCGAAAAACTTTGTTTTCTGTTTCAGGCCAGACCTATTCCACTTCCAGTCAGCTGCTTATGATCTATATGGCACAGATCCGACCTGTCCTGGAATACTGTTCCCATATTTGGAGTGCAACACCCAAACATACCCGGAAACTGTTGGATTCTGTCCAAAAAAGGGCAATTCGTCTCGTGGGTGATGCCTCGCTCACAAACTCACTCACTTCTCTGGAACACCGTAGAAAAGTTGGCGATCTGGCTCTATTTTATAGATAATTCCATGGACGAATAATCAGCAATGTTACCAACATCCAGTCTGTAATCGATAGCCCTTGATTTTTGGCAGTCTTAGCTGTTGCATCTTGACCTGCTGCCTGAGCGATTACAACCACTTCTTTTGACGTAGTTGAACCCATGGTGTAGCTCTTCAAAATCTGTCCATTGAAGGGCACTCTTTTTGTTTCACTTTTTTGTCATCTAATCTCAGCACGCAGTGTTCACAAAAGTATACTAGCGTGACACCTATTTCCAACATCGATCATTGTTGAGAAAAACAGCTGGCAGGATCGCCATGTAATGTTTAGGTGCGTGAAAAAATAGGTCTTCAACGTATGGTAGTAATCATTATAATGTCAGCTATTTTATATGACATACATTACCCAAATTATTTGTATAACACATCAGTCTAAAGGTTAGTTATTGGTTTCGAATAATAGTTTATATATAATAATAATAATAATAATCACTACACTACACTCTCCTAAAATATCAACAATTGTTCCTCCCTTGGCAGTCCCCACGAAATTAGCCCGTCGATTTGAGGCTTCGCACCCCTTCGTGGTCACTTTGGAGACCTGCAGAACATCTCTTTCCGAAGACTCGTTCATCCAACGAACATCGAGGCTCTGGAACACATTGCCAAGGGAGATGTTGCCCGAGGCATATAACCTCCAACCAATTCCTACCTTATTTTTCTTGGTTCCCACGATGTTCTCTGAACATTACAGGATATCCCTTTTCGTGGGAACCAGAACATAAAAAAAATTGAGAAATATAATTCAGCCGTTTTGAGTTTTTACCTGAGAAAAATTTTTCAACCTCGATACCTTGTAGCAAATCCAGACTGATGTTCGATGACTTGACATTGATATTAATACAGGGTGCGTTTCCAATTCTGACACACCACGTTACAATCTTATTATACCACTTATACCTCATGTTATTAAATCTTTATCAAACCACAGAGGTTACCAACTGTGAAGCGTTGTCGGTCGATTTCTTAACACACTGTAGAAGGAAATAATTTTCTCATGCATGGAAGAAGTGAATCATTTCTTACAAATGGTACCAGGTGCAGAAGACGGTACATAAAAGGTTTGCATAAAAAAGTTAATATTAGATCTCTCATGGTTCGAAATGCAAAAACAATTTTTTTCAAAAACATGTCTTTCAAAACGCATCGTTTTGGACTAACAGGATGGGGAGTTTTTTTTCAGAATCGTTTTTATTGATATCTAAGTAGAAATACTCCATAGCGGATTCCAAAGGATATGTTGAGTATGCTATCAGATAATGTTAGCGTTTTATGAGAAACTATATAAAATGTTGAAGCCAAACGAAACTTACCTGAATTGATAATCGCATCCATAGAATCGTGACACAAAATTTTTGAAACTGTATCAAAATATAAAGTACTGCCTTTTAAAGAAGTTTCCACAGCAAGTGGAGTTGACCATGCCGATACCTGAGTTTTCTGATTGGCCACTACCAAAACTGGCAGTGAAGAAGTATAACTCATATTCGTTGTCGTCTTTACTTTGAAGGGATTAATTGTCTGAAAAAAAAACCGTTATCACGAGAAATACATATAACGTCGTCTTTCACTCTGTAGGTATTTCTGAATGTGAAATTGTTTATAATTATCTAGCCGATCTTCTGATTCAACATTTTAAATGAATATCTAACGTTGAAAAGTCTGTTCATTCGGGAAAGAATAAATTCGTCAAGTTTAAATTCCAAATGATCAGTTGAGCCTTTCATAAAAATATCGGATAACTCCATAATAATATAGGTAATATGTATAAAGAAATAAACTGTCCTACTTTACCTTCAATTCTGGCTGGGAATTGTAAATCAAAATAACCTGGTGAAGCGCATTCAGTCGCAATTCTTGTAGTTCTATTCTCGCAGGGATGATTTGTTCAATCGAAATATTTTGGCTTTGTACATGTACACCCAGAAATATTACTAAAAACCATAGTTTTTCCACGAACAACATCATTTCTGAAACAAATATTTTATAGAAAGGCGTCCGGAAATAATAGTATAATTCAAGGAACATGTTGGTTATTTCAGGAACACAAACGATTTTTTTTAATCGCTTGGAGCGCACGAAAGGAAATCCCTATAATGTTCAAAGAACATCGTGCGTTCCTAGGGAGAATAGGGACAGTAGGTCGGTATTGGAATTTTTTTGAACTTCTGGAGATTATATGTTGTTGGGAATACTTCCTCAGGCAATGAATTCCAGAGCCTAGCCGTTCTATGGATGAAGGAGTTTTAATAAAGTGCTGTTCGAACCTTTCGAGGTTAAGAACGAAAGGATGTGCTGACTGGGCTTGTCTAGTTCGTCTGACTGGTATTGCTAGTGAAGGGATGATAGCAGAGATTTCCGAAGAACATTTCCCGTGGAAATATCGATAGAAGAGTGAAAGGTCGCCGACCTTTCTACGGTGTTCCAATGATGTCAAAGAGTGAGTGAGTGTGGCGTCACCCACCAGGCGAATGGCTCTTCTCTAGATGGAATCTAAGAGCATCAGCGTATGTTTTGGTGCTGAACGAACCCCATATGTGGGAACAGTATTCTAGAACAGGCCGTATCTGCGCTCTGCAGATCATGAGGAGCTGTTGAGGTGTAAAGTAGCCTTTCGCACGGAACAAGAATCCTAGTTTTTGTCTGATCTGACATGATTATCCCATGAAAGAGTGTTGCTGATGGAAATACCGAGCACAGATATGGTGGGCTTGGTGGGTATGGTGGTGCCAGACATTACAATACAATACAATGATTTGAAGAACCAGAATCAGGCTATATTGACCGGATTTCTAAACATTCCGGAATTTTTTCATTCTTGACCTACCTAACCTTGGGTCTGAGTAAACAGAAATCGGGTCAGTATGGCATTAAAGAAATATTCTATTGATTTTGTTGATCGACAGCTAAATCCATGCGAATAATGGGGAAGACCACTGAGAGAAGAAATCCGTGCAAACCTCTTTTAATCGACGAATCATGAGTTACGTTAGATGCACAATCAATATTATGAGTTGAAGTTGAAGGGAATCGAATCTATATCGTTTTGAAATCAGCATATTTCATTCGATATTTCAAACAGCCAAATATGATGGTGGAGCCTGTAGCTATCTCTCTCTGATACCTCGTCATTCTGCAGTGTTGCAGTGTGATTGGTCAGTTCAAGGACAATAGGCATGTTGGGACTAAGACGTCGCACCAGTCACACCAATGAATTGACAAAATTTCGAATGGCGCAGGAATTGTGTGCTTTGAAATGGACATATTCTAATTTATTGTTTTCATTGTTTTAGCATGAATGAAAAAATTCAAAATTAATTCACTGGCAGTTTTTCAGTATAGAGTTCACGATAATGTCGTTTTAAAAAATCAGTGGTCTTCCCCATTAACCTCCTCAATGTACCTACAATCTCAGAGCTATAATAGGTTCATTCGGGTTCGAACTATTACAGTTCTAGAATTGCCAGGAGTTTACGCAGTAGAATCGGTCGCATTCGGGTTTTGTGGATCTGTTCAGAGGCAGTCCTAGCCTCTTCAGAATCGTCCTGGGACGGTCCTAAAACTATTCGAAACCACAGTACCTGCTCTCGAGCATGAACCGTTCTAGGATCATTTTTGGCGCATGCTCAATTCATTTAGTTTTCGATTCTGTCTGCTATAGCGTAACGTCATAATGATATATTTTTGTTTATTGTGGTGCTCGCACTAGAAGCATTCAAATCCACATTTTGAGTTTTATGAATATTGTAGGAAATACTGACGCTCTGCCACTAACTTAGCTCAGTTGGATTGGATTGCCAGAAGGTTGGTTCGATTCCCACCACGACCGCAGAAACAAAGATTAACGACTCGTTAATCTATGGCAGAAATTTTTCTGATGGGCCAAGAAAGTGTTTGGGATCACACGTTAAAAGGTAAGACCCCGTCATTCCTCTTGAAGACTTCTGAGGGTTGCTCGTAAGGGGGCAACCGAAAGATGGATGATAACAAATTTAAGAACAATTTTAGAACAACAATTTGCTTTTTATTTCAACTCGTTATCACATGACTGTCTGGAATAACAGCAGCAACTAATTCGCTGTGCCGTGGATTTGGCTCTGATTGAGTGGTGACACAGGGAGGTTCTTAAGATCTACCATTCTCTCGTTATCAAATCGCGAAATCAAGTGCAAGTTACTGCACAGGAAAGTGTAATTTTTCAATCATTTTGCCCAGGAAAGTGATTGGCACAGGTGCCGTTCGATGAAATACAATGTTTTAACATAAGGCCAGCAGACTCTAACGTAAACAGCTCGTGACGTCACCCAGAGAGGCCAGTGTTTCATTTTATCGCTTGTCGACTAACGCCAGTTCGTGTTAATTCATCGGTGATTCACGTATGTTTTTGAAACGGTCCCGAATTCTTTTGTGTTTATTCATCAAAAAAATTGGCGGAAAAATTACTGTTTGTGAAATATTTTGTGTTGTGATCTGCGAAATAGCAATGCCTTTCAAGTGTTGTGTTCCCTTTTGTCGGGGGAATTATGTGGGTGGTTCAAAAGTTCATGCTTTTAGTTTCCCGTTGGACGAGGAGCTATCGAAAATGTGGGTATATGCAATTCACCGCGAGGATTTTACTCCATCTAAGTTCAGTAGTAAGCAGCGAGGTAAACAGAGCTTAATTCATAATGATGAATCAATAATAGAAGACAATTACTCTCTCATAAAAAGTATAAGTAGAGGAAAGATAGAAAAGCTTTGATTGTGCAGTTAGTTTTGTATTCGTATATAATAGTCAACAAAATCATCTCTGAATTCGAGGAAATTTTCTTGAATGTTCATAATAAACGGGCATTTTTCATGATCCAATGATCAAATTGCAACTATCATATCAACATGAACTACAAACACTCGACTTGAAAAGGTAAAACTGCATTTATCATGATATTTATCATGAAGATATTTGACTAAAAAGATCCAAATTTCACCTTCTTTTTCACCTGTCTTCTGCATTTAGAACAAATTTCCCTTATTTTTTCATCATATTGGACAATTTATATATGATTCAACTATAAATATGATTTTCTTGAGATTAATCCATATTTAGTGAAAAGAAGGGAGAATATCATTCAAAATAATGGCGTGTGTAATGTCATTCGAAAGCAATCTATTGACATTTGACATCTCGTATTTTGGTTGACTATTAATTAAATGGTCGTCATCTGGAATGCTTGTTCACTAAATATGAAAAACTCACCATAAAAATCATATTTCCTGTTGAATTTTCCATATAAAAATGTGCCATCGAAGTACATCATGCTTCAAATGCCCCCAACACAAGGGAAGAAAGAAGGCGAAATTTCGAACTTTTTCTTGAATTATCTCAATAAATAGTGGTTTGTTCACATTTTCATTATAAAATTCGGATTATCAGACAAAAATACGTGAGTACCGAGAAAAATTTTCAAAAAAAAACCATCTCATGATAAATGCAGTTTTACCCTTGAAAATTACGGTTTCAAGTGTAACGATCCACTTGGGTGAAAAATCCAACAACAGAAAATTGAAAACACTCACTGGTTATTTTTTCAGGTAATAGGAATTCTCCAAGATAAATATAGGTAATTGTAACAAACGTTATGTAAATCAAAATAAAATACATTTTCCACAATTTTCTTTCGATCAATCTCACGATAAGTTTACGTTCTGCGGGCCCTGTATAAGTAGGTGTGAAGTTTACCTTCACCACAATTTTTGCCAATATATTTAATTCGAATGGGTTGCTGTAGGTGGATATTTGTGTTTTATCCTGGTTTTTGCTTTAAAACTTCGTTTTTCCATAATAAAATCGGATGGGGTGCGAAGAAGGGCTCAGTTGACGACTGGCATTCTTTTTTAACCGGAAGCCCTTCAAAAAACAGCAAAATCGGCTCAATGATGATCTAAAACTAAAATCGAAATACGCGGTCGCCTTATAGCGCTATAAGCGCTTGTCGTTTCGAGCCGCTGGTTAGGCCTCACTAAGTGACGTCACCTTGGGACATATACAGGCTAATTCATGGTGGAAGGCACATTAGATGTTTCCAGAGAACGTAATCTGGGATTTTTCTGAAAATTTGGTGCCTTTTGGATAATTAGTTGTGCTCTATCGACCTAAAATATTCTCAGCGCTGCGACGTTGCCGCGTATATAGAAAAGTAGCAACAACTTTGATTTTTTGAATAGGACACTCATGTCGGAAAACATGATTACCGGACTTTTACTTATACAGAAGGAGTCAAAATGTGTACCAGGCTTTCTGGAGGTGATAGTACATTGAAAAATAAGTATACATTGATGAATTAACTTATGGATGAAAATGCATATTAAGGGAGATATATCCTTCAAACGTTTATAAAATTAAAATATTTTTTTCGCATAACTTCTTAACGGTGAAAGCCACAAGATTGAAATCATCTACATGAATGTATGTTGTTAAAATACATTTTTCTGGTACGCTTCTACATTCATGATATCGTTATAAAGGGTGTTTTCAGAGGGTGAGTCATGATTTTTTGAAGCCAACTTCTTTTCTTGTATTCCATTTGGTGAAAAAATGGAAGCATTTGATAAAGCAAAGAATTATACATGAAAAGGTACCGTTTTTGTTTTCGAAATATTTTAATTTTTATTATCACATGATACTAGCAGATTAACTCATCGGTAACAATATTTCAGGAGGTAATGAACAATTTTGTTCATGAACGTTCGTTGATGCATCAACATTGTTATTGTTAATTTCCTTGTATGTTTTCTTCAGTTGATGTTATTAATACTGCAATTTTCAATTGGGATTTTAAGAAATGGTAGGTTATTATACAGACATGTTTCTCGCTTGACACGTTCCAAATACTGTAACACTTTCGAAGATTTTGCAAAGATTACGTGAAAAAGAATTTTTTAAATCGAAAAACAGTATATTGTTCAACGAGCATGGAATGATAGTGATT